CGCTGCCCACCGCGCGACGCCGCTCGCAGCGGCCTAGGCGATGCCAGCATAGCACAGGTTGGCCAGCTGAGCTGCAAGGGCCGCGTCGCACATGCGCTCGACTCTCCCGCGGCCGAGGCGAAGCCAACCTAGAACATGCTGGCCCGGCGGATGAGCTGCGAGGCCGCGTCGGCCTTGCGCTTCATGTCTGCCAACATGCTCTTGACAGTGACATCCTTGTTGATGTGACGACTTGCGCAGTTGTGGTCGCCGTCGATGATCTTCTTGACGTCGCTGAAGATCTCGCTGGTCTTCTCGCAGTCCTCCTCGGTGGTCTCGCGGGCCCTCTGCGGCATCCCCGCGAACGCTGCGTCGCTCGCGGTGCCCTGCAGCGTGGTCTGCATGTGCTTTACCTTGTCCGCCATCGCCGACGCGTCCATCAGGTTCTTCGCGCCCTCCCTCTTCCTCTGGGATTCCATCTTCTTTCCCTCCCTCTCGCTCTCCTTCGCATTGCGAATCTTCCTGGCCTCCCTGTCCCCCTTGTCCTTCTCGTGGCCCTTCTTGTCATTATTGCCCTTCTTCTTGCGGCGGCTGCGCGACGAGGAGCTCGATGAGCTCTACTCCTCGGACTCGGACTCGGGGGCGCCAGCCACCTTCCGCCTCTTGCCGCTGTTCTCCTCCACGCCCTCGCGAAGCTGCCCCTTCTGGCCCGCCGTGCCAGCAGAGTATATCGGGGCGCGGTACGTCTTCCCGAGGACGCGGCGGTCTTTGATGTCCCACGGGAACGACAAGCGAACGATTCGATCCGTGTCGAAGCCTTTGACTGATAATTCTCCAAGTCCTGGGCGCCGCTTGCGGTGCTTCTCGAAGCCCTTCATGTACTCGTGGAAGTGCGCGACGACATCCTTTCGGCTCGTGATGTCCCTGATGCCGCCAAAGAAATTATTTTTGCTCTCGTCGTCGAGGGCGCTGAATTCGGGCGTTGGCCACCCGCCCAACTCGGCGCTCAGCTGCGTGATCTTGCTGGAGCAGCGCGAGCACCTGAGAGCGTTCTTCCCCTTGTTGCGGACCCTGACCTTGTCCATGACCTCCACCTCGCCGCCGCGGCCCCCGCAGTGCATGCGGAGATCATCGAGGAAGGCGGGGTGATCCGTCGCCGCTGGCGCCTGCGTCGGCTTCGGCTGCGCTGGGAGGAAGCCGCGCTTCGGGGCGCGAACGAGGGCCTGCGGGTTCGAGGGGGCTGGTGCTGCCAGTGGATCTGCAGGAGGTCCCACCGCCGTCCCTGGCGGGGTGCTCGCGGCGACCGATGGCTCAGGCGCGGCCGCCGCCTGCGGGGGCGGGCCCGACGGCGCCGGGGCCGCCGCGGGGGGGCCATCGTGCGAGGGCTCGAAGATGATCGCGGCGACCTTCGGGGGCGGCGCCCCGCTGCTCTTCGCCGGCGAGGGCCTCGCCCGACGCGGCCGAGCTTGCCCTGGCGGAGGCCGCGGGGGCGGCGGCGCCCCGGCGGCCGAGGGGGCCGGCGCCGCCGCCGCCTCGATCGGGCGGTCGGAGGGGGCCGCCGCCGCCTCGATCGGACTGTCGGCCTCGACGCGCACGATGTTGCCCGCCTTGCAATGGTCACCGCGCTGCGCCGGCCCACCCGCCCAAACTCACCCCCCCCACTAAACCCTGCAGTCGCAGGCTTCATGAACCTGTGCAGATTAAGGAGCCTGACGAATATGACGCTTGGCATCTGCGACGCCCCCATGGGGCGCCAGTGGCGTGAAGGGGTGGGCGGAGGGAGGGGGTGTCAGGGGTTGGCCAGGCCAGCGCAACGTTGCCCATGCGCCTTCGGGGTCTGCGCCGAAACTGCACCGCCGAACACCGCGTCGATCTGGGGCCGCCGAGCCCGAGCCAACTGGGCCGCCTTAGCCCTACGCGGCAAAGCCTCCGCGGCCCTGCGGGCTGGCCCCTCCGCGATCACCCTCTCGCCCATGGTCCGAGCGCCCTGCGGACCCCCCCTCAGGTCGGGCACTGGAGCGTGGCAATGGGCTTTTTCCAGGATCCTGCGGGTCGCGACGATGCAACACTGGTGGAATCTTCGGAGGCACAGCAAGATGGCAAGCGGAACTCCCCTCAGGCCGCTGTCCGCCAGGGCGTCGTCGGGATCCCCCCCCAGGGGGGCTTGGCAGATAGCGCAATTGTCGCCGTCATCCGTCGGGCCTGGGACGCTCGGCGGCGCCTCGCCACCTCCATGGGGCCCCTCCGCATCGGCCTGCATGCCTGCCCCAGGACCTGGGGCGCTCGGCGGCGCGGTATCGTCGGCGGCTGAGATGGCGGCTGGGATAGCATCAGCGTCGTCGACGGCGGGTTCTGCGGCCACCCCGCCAGCCTTCAAGGAGGTCTCGAGCGTCTCCTCGAAATCCACAGAGTCGTTATCGTTCCACGACATCACGCGCTGCAGACTGCGGCAGCGCCCACTGGGCGTCGATGGCTGCTAGCGGAATATGCCGCTGAGCGAGATGTCGCTTGAGCCTGAAAGGCGGCGGGACGAACGGAACGCGCGTTCGGGCGCGGGCCGAAGCGGGAGTGCCGCTGGCAGGCACGAGTGGCCCAACATGGATTGCAAGGCCCCCCCCCCCGCGGGGGCCGCCGTTGGCCCTGCAGCCGCGTCGAGGCCATCTTGGAGCCGTCTTGCGGCATCTTGGGCCATTATCAGGGCCGCCTGGCAACGGTTAGCAGACCATTATCATACCAATATCAGATCATTATCAGGGCCACCTGAGAAACGGTTCCCAGACCAGTTTCAGAAATCTGAGTATGCATTATCAGGGCACGTCTGATAACGCTATGTATCAGCTGGTAACATTCGCAGACCGCCTGATAATGCATTATCAAAACGCTATCAAGCCATTACCACACAACGGTCAGAGCATCTGATAACGCGTTATCAAGCATCTGATAACGCATGGTCAGAGCACGTCTGATAACGCTACGTGTCAGCTCATAGCGGTACCAGGCCGTCTGGTAATGCAATATCAAGCCGTTATCGGACCAGTATCGGGCTACCTGGTAACGATTATCAGACCATCCCCAGGGCCGCCTGGCAGCGCATGATAATGCCGACGACGGCGACGCAGTGGACGCGGAGGAGGCGGGGAATGTTGCACCCTGAACCCTCTCAGAGGCGCCAGCCGTTCAAACCACGCCATGGAAATCGCCATGTTCGACGCGAAAATGCAAGGGCCCCCAACTTCGCGCTTCGCGCAGCGCGAAGCGCGAATAACTTCGCGCTCTCGCGCCGCCCCCCAAAGGGGAGAAGGGGGGGCGAGGAGGGGGGGGGGGATGAGGACCGCGAAGCGCGAAGCACGAATAACTTCGCGCCCACGCGGGAGCCCTCGGGGATGCGGACGGGGCGGGAGCTTACGAGGATGTGAAGTGTGTTTTGCTTGCTTGGCCCAGGCGCGCACGTGCCAGCACTGCGACGCAACGTTTCCACGTGAAGCGCTCGCGCGTGGTGGCCTTCGTCGTCTTCTTCGTCAGGACTGCCAGGTCAGGGATGTCGATCGGTTTCTCGTCGGCCTTCGTCTTGGGCGGGGTCGCCCTGGTCGCCCTGTCGGCCTTCGTCTTGGGCGGGCTCAACTTGGTCGCCTTGACGCCCGCGCCGCGCATCCCGTGCGCGAGCGTTGCCTTCTTGGCCGTGTGGGGGCCCTTCGCAGTGGGAGTAAGGGGTGGGCCTTCGTCCTCGACGCCATCTTCGCCCTCGCCACCTGCGTCGTCGGCCGTGTCCGCCCCCTCGTCGGCATCAGCGTCTCCGTGGCCCTCTTCGCCTTCCTCTTCCCCCTTCTTCGCCTTGGCTGGCTTTGACGAGGGCCTCTTCGCGGCCCTCTTCGCCTTCGCCCTCGCCGTGGCCTCTTCGCGCTTCGCCTGCGTCGCGCCCGTGGCCTGCCCCGCGGTGCGCTTCAAGCCCCCTGGCTGAGCTGGCGGCGCATTCGTTGGAGCTGCCAAGGCAACTGCCCCGACGCTGTCAGCGGGCGCGGAAGCCGATGGAACTGCGGCAGCGGAAGCTGGAGCCGCGGCCGGCGATGCGGCTGCTGGAGCCGCGGCCGCTGGAGCTGCGGCAGCGGCAGCTGGAACGTCGGTAGCTGGTTCGGGAGCGAGCGCTGGATGTGGCCCTGCAATCCGTCGGCCTGGCGCTGCTTGGGCCCTGTGGCGGCCCGACCGAGCGGCATTCCCGAATACCTCTAAGGTCTCCAAGAAGCTCGACATTTCGTCACCTGCTGAGCCCGCCCACGCTCCGACGCCCCCTCCCGCCACGAGGGACATGGCGGTCGTGGCAATTGTCTGCGCGTGCTGCATCTGCTGGGCCTGCCGGGCAATCATCTGCCTGATGTCGTCCTGCCCGCTGGGGCCGAAAGGCGCCAACTGGCTGCTTGCCGCATTGCCAGAGACCTGCGGCCATCCGCACACTTGCAGAAGCGCATTCGTCTCCGGCCCAACTCCTCTGCACCGATGCCGATTGTCAATGTCCTGAAGCTTGCCCATGTCCAGCGAGCGCCGCACGCGCCCGTCGCCCGCGCGAGTGGCGCATGCCCTGGCGCGGGCCTGCGGGCGTGAAAACGCCAGGTCATTTGGCAGAGTCGGCAGCGTGTCTATGTAGGTGTCGGGCTTCGGAAACTTGTCTGCGATGGCCCTGCGTTCCTCAGGTGAGGTTTGTCTTCAACTGAAAACAGCTCATCTTGTTCACCGTAGGCTCGCAAATGAGAGGCCACATCGAAGTCATCAGCTTGGTCATGCGCTCGCACGCGCTGCGGCCGCCCAAGCGCACGACGCGCTGGATGATGAGTTGCAGGCAAGCGTAGCTGGGCGGCACATCGCCGCCACCGGGCAACACGTAGGACCAATTATCCTCGGTGAGGAACTCAAGGAAGCTCGTGTACGTCTGCTGGGCATGGCGGTTGTTGCCCGAGGATGGCCCCCTGCCAAGTATAGCCAATATTGGCATATCGTGGTCCTGGTACCAGTCCACACTGGTGATCATAAGTGCCAGCGCTGCCTTGTCATCGGGCGAGATGGTTGCCCACGCGCGGCACAGCGTGGCGACGACGGCTCTGGACTGAACCCTCGACAACGCCTCGTGCCGATCGGCCCCTTCGGCAGCCCGAAGCGCCGCCCCGATCTTCCCCGGCCTGATCCGCAGCGCGGCCGCGTCCGACATGGACCAGCGCGGCCAACGAGAACAGCAAGTCGTTGCCTAACGGCTGGAAGTGCTGACGCCCAAACAAAAATAGCGGAACTGCCGCTGAGCAGTTCGGCGAATCTGCCGATCGGGCCATGCTGGCGGCTGTCGGGGGAGGTTAATCGGAGGGGGGAGAGGGCGAGAGCTCTCGGTTACCGGAAGGGGAGTTGGCGTTGCTAGATCTCCTGAGGGCGAGAGCCCCATGTTGAACTGGATCCGCCCTCCATCCGTGCAGCGGTTGCAAACTTTTACGACGAGGCAACGATGCGCGGGCTCGTCCTTGGAGGCCTGAGGGCGCCCTGGGTTGAAAGCCTCTCCCTCGAGGGTGATCCTGGGTGGAGTCCCCTCAAAGACTGGTTCGCATATTCCACTCCGAAATGCAAAAACAATACCACCCGCCTTGGAGAAAACCGAGCGGGGCCTTGGTGGGGGCCGAGGCATAGGTCCTATCCCACCTCCCAGGTTCAACGAATGGTCAAGCCGACGACTTTTGAAATGCCCTGGGGGGGGGGGGGGGGGGATATAAAAGGAAACAGGGGCAACGTGTCTGGGCGCGGCACGGGCGAAACGTGCGACTGGCGAGCGCAGAGCGCAATCAGCAACGCTGCTGACGGGGCGCCGAGCAGGCGGTGCGATGATATAAACTGTCGCGGCGCTGCCGCCAATGGCCACCTGCCCCTGTGTCTTCCCAATGGCACACTGAGCTGCCAGGGCGAGCTTAGAACGGGCCCAGAAGAGCTGCAGCTGGCAGCGCGCCCGCATCAATCTGCTTCGGCCACTCACCATCCTTCTCCGAGGCTGATGACGAGTCGCTGCCCGCGGCGTCAGAGCCTGGGCCGTTCTTGCCGGGTGCTGCGATGACCTCTGGTGTTTCTGCATGCGGTCCTGCATGGCGGCCTAGGTTTACGTGCGCCACTGGCGCTACTGAGCCACTTGGGGCTGAGCCACTTGGCGCTGATGGCGCTGCTGAGCCACTTGAGACACCAGGCGTGGTCAGCGGAGCCAGGCCTGAGCACTCGCGCACTTCGATGAGGGTGTGGAACGGGACGGGAATGATTTCTGTTTTGGGAAGAACTGGTGGGATTGCTTTCCGCCTGCCGAAAGCGTTTACCATCTGCCCTGCCTTGCCTGGGGCGGCCTCCTTCGTGCAGGTTCCAAACCACGGTAGGAAGAACGCCCCATCGGAGTCGAGCTCGGCCGAGAAGGTGGATGAGATCGCGCACATCACCGCCGTTGCTTGCGTGTGAAAGCGCCCCGTGGAGGCCGACGCCCTCTTGAACATGTCCATCGGGTTGCGGCGGCGGTCTCAGATGGCCTTCCAGGCCCGGCTCTCTGTTAGGCCCTTGGCGTCGACTGCAGGCTTGCCCTTGGTCTTCTTCGCGCCCATGGGCATTGCCGCGGAAGCGGGGGCGCCGCCAGGAACGACGAGCCCGCGCAAGCGAGAGGCCGAGAGGAAGCGCTGCCAAGCGAGGGCGCGCGAGAATCTGGATCAGCTCGAGCCTCGATTGCTCCGGGCGGGCCCTGGTCCGACGGCCAGCGCCGCGGCCCAGGGCGCCACCCCCCCCCCGCCCCGCTCATATGATGACGATGTCATGGAACGAGGGCTAGGGGGGGTGACGAGGAGAAGGCTTCAGAATGCAGAGGCCGCCGGCGAAATGAAACACAGGGGGCGAGGAGGGCGAGAAAAGCAAGGATCGGGGGGGCGGGGGCGCGGGGGCGGATGCACCGCTGGCGAGGCGATCGCTTGAGGGGAGAGTGACGACATGAAGGCCAGGCGCAGCTGCGCCGAAATCCAAGTTCGCAGCGCACGTGCGCCGATGCGCAACAATTAGAATGCACGGCGCCTTCGAGCAGTGCGCTCCCGAGGCTGGCGGCGGTGCGCTGTCCATTGCCGAGGCTGCGTCTGCGCCTCCTAGCGGCGAGGCTGGCGCGCTGCGCTGTCGAGGCCGCCGCTCCGCTGCGCGATGTTCTGCTGCGCGTCTAATGGTGCGATGGCGCCCCTGGCTGCAAGCTCTGGCCCCCGCTGCCCATGCTGCTGCGATGCGGGGGCCTCTGGCGGGGAAGTGGCAGCCAGCCCTCTCGTTCGGCCTGGGCCTTCATGTTGTGACGTTCGGCCTCCTCGCTCCGCCCCGCTGCCCGTGGCGCCCAGGCGGGCGCTTTTTTCCAGAGCCGCGGCGCCAGTTGCCATATGGCTTCTGTCCAGCCCTGGGCCCCGACGCCCCAGAACATTTCCTGGTCTGCGACGGGCGCGTCGGGGTAGAAGATGCGCAGCTCGTCGATGTGCACGGCGTCCTCGTCATGGGTCGCGTCGGCGGCGGGCGTGCCATCGTCGGCGTCGAGACGGCCTTGGTCGGCGACTGGCTTGCTCTCGGTGATGCTCTGGTCGGCAACTAGATTGCTCTTGTCACGCTCGGGCTTGCTCTCGCCGGCGTCGGGGATGCTCTGCTCGGCGACTGGCTTGATCTCGTCGCGCTCGGGCTCGCTCTCGTCGGCGTCGGGGGCACTCTGTTCTCTCCATGGAGGCGCGGCGACCTTCGCCGGCTGAATGGAAATCCACTCGGGGTCGCGCTTCATGATCTTTTCCAAGCGTGCGATATCCCCATCGACTCTCGCGATGGCCTCAGCGAACTACCAGTCGACTGCATTCGGGGCCCCGCCGTGGGCCCACTCGCTGTGGTCGCTGCGCTGCATGTGGTCGCTGCGCTGCCCGCGGGGGGTACCACTCGAGGTTCATGGCCTCGCCGTTGTGGTCGGCAAATCATGGGAATGCGGGGTTCGGTAAGACTGGAAACGCTTGGGGCTGCCACCAGCCTTCCAGCGCCAGCGGCGCCCACTCTGGCACCCGATCTGGGGCGTCGCTACCTTCGTGCGTGGAAACCGCAATCTTTGGGCACTCGTGGCGCTCGTGCTCCGTGAAGCCGACGCGACCGCCGGGGGATGAGGGCCCAGTGGAAAGCTGACGAGGCAGATGCAATTGCGGCTGGGGGCCAGAGTGGCGGGGGGGGGGGGGGGGGGGGGGGGGGGGGGGGGGGGGGGGGGGGGCCCCCAAAACTTGAATGGTGGACAGAAGCCTTATTTGGGCCTGCTCGGAGCGGCGGGCCTCTCGGGCCCATGTCCCCCTCTCGTCCCTCGAGCACCTGTCGGGGCTCGCGCTGGCCTTTCCGGCTCCCCCCCCCCCCCCCCCCCCCTCCCCCCCCTCGAATGCACCTGGGGGCCTCGGGCGCGCTGCTGCAGGGCCCGTGGGGGGTGCCCACATTGCATGACATCGCATGGCCTCGCATAGCATCGCGCAGCGCCGCATTGCATCGCATTGCGTCGCATCGCAAGTCGACTTGTGAATCGTGCGCAGCGGCGCCTGGCACCGCATAGCATCGCTTAGCAACGGGGCGCCGAGGAAGCGAACGCGCCGCCGGGGGAGGAGGGGGGGCGGGGAGGGGAAGGAGAAAGACTGCACTTGTTTACTCGAACGCGCTAAGAGAGCGGACGCGCCGATAGGTGCAAGTTCGCCGCGCCGCTCGGGGCGCCGCCGCGCTTGCTTGCGCGGCACCGCTGCGCTCGCCGCGTCGTCTCGCGAGAGCCCGTCTGCCGAGCGACAAAATGCCTAGAGTGCGCGGCGGGGGCGATGAAAAACGCAACGCCGGCGGGCCATTGGACAGTCCGCCTATCGTCGGCTTTTCGAACTGCTGAGCCGTGGCCAATTGCAGAAAAGCAAGGGGTGCTGTGTGAAACCGTCGGACTTGCCGATTGCAACGCACCCATGGACGCCACGCGAAGCCTAGCTCAGCCAAAGATGCCCGGCAGCTCCTTCATCGGCACCCAAAGCGCTTTCAGGACTACCTTCTCGCATGTCTCGAACGCGGTGCCCTTGACGAAGTAGCTGTTGATGCGGCCATCTCTGAGCTTCGTGGCGTCGCACACTTCCACCTCTAGCTGCGCCCGCCTTTCAGGCCCATGATATGTTTCCCAGCCGCCATCGCTGCACACACGTTGACGCCTGAATCGCCATGGTGAGCGCAGACTCCGTAGCAAAGGCGCCCGTCGATCGAGATCCCATTGCCGATCGGCGTCTCATTCCAAGCGATGACAGGCTGGATCAAGCTCTCAAACCTCGTGTTGTGATATCCTACGCAGCGATCGCCCGGGCTATATGTCTCCAGGCGCCGTCGTCCTGCACCCAGGGCCGACGCGAAGAGGGATTCTCGACCATTCTTGGCCGTCGCTGCGCACGACGGGGAGCGATGGAGGGCTCGGCGTGCCTGTCTCGATGATGGCACGCCACGTCGCGCCTGGATTGGCGTGCAAGCCCTTGTGCACCGCCTTCAGGTCAGGTGCACAATCACATCCGAGAGGCACCCACTGCCGGAAGTGGTCGACGCTGTCGGCGATATAGTACCTGCGAAAGGAACAAGTGTTACAAGTTTGGTAGCGCCAGGCCTTGTCTGGTGCTGCGTCCTCTGGTGCTGCTGGCGCTGCTGGTGCTAGTGCTGCGCCTGCTGCTGCTGCGCCTGGTGCTGCTGGCGCTTGGTGCTGCGTCTGCTGTTGCTGCTGGTGCTGCTGCTGCGCTTGCTGGTGCTGCTGGTGCTGCTTCTGGTGCTGCTGCTGGTGCTGCTGCTGCTGGTGTTGCGTTTGCTGGTGCTGCTGGTGCTGCTGCTGCTGGTGCTGCGCCTGCGCCTGCAGGTGCTGCGCCTGGTCTGGTGCTGCGCCTGCTGGTGCTGCGCCAGCTGGCGCCAGAAGCGCCAAAATCGTTGTGCATCGATCCTTCATTTCAAGGTGTTGCTGACGATGCGCCTCCTGCAGCGCTGCCAGCCCGTGGCTGCGCTGCGCCCTGCGCGCCTGCGCGCCTGCGCGCCTGCGCTGCCCAGGCGCTGCGTCTGCTGATACTGCTCGTGTTGCCTGGCTTCTGCGCCACCAGGCGCGCAGCGCGTCGGAGGAGTTGGTGTTCGTGTTGCTGGCGCTGCGCCTGGCGCTGCGCCTGCTGCTGCTGCTGCTTGCGTTGCGCCTGTTGGTGTTGATGCTGATGATGCTGGCGCTGCGCCTGCTGGTGGTGATGCTGCTGGCGCTGCGGCAGTGCCGGGCTCCTCCTCTGGGTCCTTCGATGCCCGTGCTGGCGCTGCGGATGCGCCCAAGCGCATGGCTCTCGAGGCAATGCAAGTGCTGGTTGAAAAGCTTGGGTCCGAAACCTGAGTGCAGGCTCGAGCCTAAACGGTTGGTGGAAACGACGACGGCGATGGCGACGACGACGACGACGCTCCCGCGGGAGGAGAGTGACATACTGGTTTGGTATGAGAAAAGTGAGTGACATCAGAGAGGTTTGGTCTGAGACGAGTGATGTCGAATCACCTTTGTTGACTTCTAACAGTTTACATGTTTAAAATTGGTTGTATATTTTTGTTGGTATGAAAACACGGCGGCGGAACTTATGAAACTTATGGAAGGTGTACATTTAGTTCAAGTCAACATGAAGTTTCCTTACCTTGATGGACATGCAAGTTCCGGAAGTCGTCAACAACTGAAGCTGATCCTCAACCATTCCTCTCAGCACGGACCCTGGAGGAAGCCTCGGGCGCCGCGGCCTCCTCAGAGCGCTCCGGAACGCTCCGAGAGCGCTCTGGAACGGATCTGGCCTCATGCCAACCCCAGCCGACAGTCCTGCGCACGCGTGGCGGGCAGGAGCAGCTCGGAGGCCGGGATGCGCTCGTTCCAGTCCTGCGCCCACACGTCGGGCGGCTTGTAGCTGCACGCGGCCAGCGGCGGGCCGCCGACCTTCGATTTCAGCACCGCCACCACGGCGGTCCGGAAGACATCCGAGAAGGCGTGCATGTGCCACCGGTTGCGCTTCCACAGAATCGCGTTGCCGAGGCAAAGGGCGGAGCTCGACGGCATCTGCATGACTGGCGCGAAGACGATGCCGTAGTTCGCCTTGCTCAGGTCCCGATACAAGTGCGCCAAATGGTTGTTTGCCGGCTCGTCGTCGCAAGTGAACCATTCTGGATCCGCTTCGCTGTTGCGCTCTTTGAAGCCAACACTCTGGACGCCCTGGAGACATATTACATCAGCATTGTGCATCCTGAGCTGCCGCACCAGCTTCTTCTGCCTCTCTTCCCAATCCAACATGTTTGGGTCCGCATCGCCATTCATGATCTGCTCCTGGATGTCCCTTGCCTTCGGCGACTGGGAGTGCGAGAGGTCAGACGACACGGAGTACGAGACCATGACCACCACGTGAAGCGGGTGGTCGCCGCTGGCATCCGTCGGATTGGCGCCGGGGCTCAGGAGGAACTCGGTGTCTGGGCCCCTGCTGGTCCACGACATCAGTAAAGGGAAATTAGGACACACAAATAAATACACACAAATAAAAATAGTCCCCATATTTTCACATATTTTCTGGGTTTTTGTCTTCCCCCCCAATTCCCATATTTTCCCATATTTTCCTGGGAATCGAGGATTAATTGTGTCTGTGTTTTTTTTCCCTCCTGAATCAGACCCTGCCCCCACCAGCCATGGATTACTCTGAATCGATGGGAGGCGGAGGTCGGGTTCGGACTTCGCTAACTACGCGTTCTCGACGGCTGCCGAACCCCACTTCCCCCCGCCGCCCATCGAATTTTCCGAATCGTGGATCAGCGAGGGTAGGCTCAGGTCGGGCATGTCCTCCTACAAGCGGATTTTGAGGCAAAAATCTAAGACGTAGCCCCAACAACATGTCAAACATAGTCACAACTAGTGAACAGTCGTCCCCGACCGGGAACCTGGGAGCCCGGGAACCCAAAACCCACCGAAATCAGCCTGGAACCAATGACCGGGAACCTGGGAACCCGGAACCGGGAACACGGGAACTCGGCCTGCTACCAAGATCGGCGGGGAACTGTCGCCTACTCTTTCAACTTCTGCTAGGACACCTTCAGTGCAAGCACTGATTGGAATATATATATATATATATATATATATATATATGTACATATGAGTATTCCTCCTTCGGGGATGGACAGACCTCCCTTTAGTAAAACGTGGTTTCGTGAAAACGACTTCGGGCCCAAACCTGGCAGGCGCAAGCCTGGACAATAACGGCCGCGGCGCCCTCTCGAGAACCGAAAACGGACAATTCGCTACGGCAGGTTCGTGTTGTGCCGACCCCAGCGTTGGTTTTTGACACCGCAGGGATCGTTCAACCTTGAACGATCGGCCGCTGCCGCAACGTCCGATCGTTCAACATCGATCGATTCTGGGTCGCCGGCGGCGTTCAACCTTGAACGCCCGCGCTGGGGTCGCCGCTGGTCGACACGACGCAAACCTACCGTAATCGACGTGTCAGGGTAGGAGGTCTATCCGCCTCCGACACGCCCGATGACAGGGCAGGCTTTGGAGTTCCGCCGCCGACCTGCGGACGAACTCGAGGTGCCGGAGCCGCGGCGCGTAGGCCAGCTCCAGCACGGGCTGCGACTGCACCCCCTGCCAGTGCCCCGAGCGCCGATCCCCGCGGTCGCTCCTCCAGGACAGGCGCACCTGTAGAGGATTCCTCCTTTTCAGGGTTTCTGTCTTCCCCCCACTTCACATCTTGTCCCATCTTTTCCTGGGAGTCGACGGTTAATTGTGTTTGTTTTTTGTCCCTCCTGGTAGGAGGAGGGGGACAGAGGGCGTCAGCACTGGAGGCCGGAACTTGCCATCGCCCGAGCGTGCATAGGGGAACGAACCATGACATGAACATCACAAATCGGAGGTCCGCGCGGACATCTCGGATCCGCGCTGGACCCCCCCCTGTCGGTGCTTCCGGCGCCGCCCCTGGCATACTCCGCGCGCCAGGGAGGGGGGTCCGGCGCCAATCGGAAAAATCCGCGCGGACCTCCGAGTTTTTATGTTTATGTCATTGCTCGCTCCCCGAGTGCATTCCTCCGGCACTTTGGCGGTTTCGTGCGTGTAAGTACTGTAGCGAACAAATCCAAAATGCTCCTGGACGGTCCTCGCATAGAAAAAGCGAACACGTCCGAGCGAAGCCAAGGGGAATGAGCACCAACACCAGCACGAGGCACAAGGGGGGTGCTCCACAGGGGAGGCCTGGGGAAGCCCGAAGGTTACAATCCAAACGTGCATCCAGGACGGCCGGCAAGGACGCACAAAACCCTTGGAGGCCGAGGTCCAATTTTTGGTGGGGGGGCGGCGGGCGACCCGCGAAAACGGTCCAGGACGGGCCGCCGAGGTAAGGACACGAGGGCAGAGAACGGCGCGCGTCCTTACTAGGCGCGTTGACTGCACCATGATGGGCTTGTTTTTCTACCACCACCACCACCATAATATGGACGGGGTGGGGGTCCTCCTCCTCCTCCTCCTCCTCCACATCCTCTTCGTCCTCCTCCTCCTCGTCCTCCTCATTCCCCCCTCCAACTTATGGTGGTGGTGGGAGACAGACCCATCACACCACCCTCACCGAGATCGGGGTCATCTTCCCTCAATGGAGGCAAGCCGCCGATGCTGCTGCCGGTGTCAACATCGGGTTGACCCACATGGGGGTCCGGCGAAAAGAGGGCGGTGCACTAGATCTGGTGCGCTGGAGGTGTGGGATTGCAGCAGATCTGAGGCGTGCGGTACCTGCTGGGGCGCAAGTGCCCTCCTGGCTTTTCACGTGCCAGACATTCGCTGCACACGACACGATGCACCGACGACGACGACGACGACGACGACGACGACGACGACGACGACGACGACGACGACGACGACGACGACGACGACGACGACGACGACGACGACGACGACGACGACGACGACGACGACGTCGTCGTCGTCGAGCGCATGGCATTTGCAATCCAATGGTCCGGAGCGTATTGCGCCACAGCCTTTCCGCAGTGCCCCCTCGGGGGCCCGCGCGCGGCTTCCCTGGATCGGCGCCCGACGCCCCTCCCCGGCGGGAAAAGGGGGGGCGCGCCGCCGGGGGTCCTGCAGAGAGGGGGCGTCCGAGAGGAGGGAGGGCCCTCGCCCTCACTCTTCCAGGCCGTCCGTGCTGGCCTTCCACATTCTTGCGCTTCGTGAAATGCGGAGTTTTCTTGCGCTCCCCGAGGTGGAGAGGGTGGAAATCATGGCCCAGGGCATGTGCGCTGACCAGGGGTAGGCCAGGAAACGCATTGAAGTCAGAAGTGGGGCAACGAGATTTGGGGAGATATCATGGCCCTGGCCATGATATCCCCCTCCCCTGGCCATCACCCCCCTCTTGGCCGCGCCCGATGCAGCGCCGATGTAAGAGAAAACCGTGCGAAACTCCAGACATGTTTCGCCTGTGCCAAGCCCCTGCAAACGGGGCGTTCGTAAGCGGGCTGGTAGCTAAGGGTACGCGTCCGCTGACGTTCTCAAAAAATGGATCTGCCGGGCAGAGGTGCGCGGTACCCCCCCCCGCCAAGATTTATGATGGTGTGTCGACGTGTTTCGTCGCCCCGGTGTATCACGCACCAGCGCGAGGTAAATGTCCTGTCGCCCCGCTCTCGCTTGAAGAGGCCCCTCTTAACTAGCGCACTTGGGCGCCCGAGTTATCCGGGGTAACTCGGGCCCGGGGTAACTCGGGTTTGGGTTCTGAAAAAACGGACCCGAATTAGCCCTGACCCGAATTATCCCTGAGGATTTGGGGCTCTGGACGCCCGAATTATCCCGGGTAACTCGGGCCCGGGCCAACTCGGGTTCGGATTCCCGAAACACGAACCCGACTTAGCCCTGACCCGAGTTGCCCCTGATGATTCGGGTCTCTGACGCCCCGTCTACCAGCGCCCCGCGCGCAGGGGCTTGCCCGTGCAGCGCTTCTCCCACGAGCACCGGCAGGCGCCCCTTGGCCTGGAAGACGGCCTCGAGGAGCCAGCCGACGCCTTCCTGTGGGGCGCAGCGGTGGGGGGGGGGGCTCTGGCTCCGGGGGGTGGGGGGGGGGCATCGACCTGTGACCCTGACCTTCCTCGAGGGCAAGAAAAAGCACCAGGACCTCGACATCTCAAATCCCGTCGAGGTTTTTGAGCAGTCCAGACAGGTCTGTAGGTCTGGAATTGTTCTTGTTTCAGCGCTCTGGTCAGGGAATCGGCGATACTGAAGGGGCTCCAGGACACACCTTTAAATACACACAAATAAAAGCATCCCCCTATATTTTCCCATATTTTCTGGGTTTCTGTCTTCCCCCCCACTGCCCATATTTTCTTACATTTTCTGGGGAATCGACGATTCATTGTGTCTGCGTGTTTTTGTCCCTCCTGAGATACGTCGCCGATTGATCAGCGATGGGCCCTTGATAGCGAATTCGCCCTGCCCTGGGCGGGGCTGGCTTTCGGGCCCCCATCGGCGCCCCAACGGGCGACCGGGGGTCGCTGCGTCCCCCCCCCCATTCGGGGGCTGCTAGAAAGGTACCCCTGAGCCGAGGCTCTCTCCCAGCTTTCCTCGCTCCGTGCTGAAGGCCCTGGGGCGCCCCGTGGGTCTCGTGAGCGGCTTTCTCTGGACGCCGGGGGGGCCTCCCTGGACATCCTGGGGGGCAAGGGGCAGCTCTCCTCCTCCTCGTCCTTCTCCTCCTCCTCCTCCTCGTCCTCGTCGTCGTCCTCCTCCTCATCCTCCTCCTCCCATTCCTCCTCCGCCTCCGCCTCCTCCTCCTCCTCCTCCTCCTCCTCCTCTTACTCCTCCTCCTCCTCTTCCTCCTCCTCCTCCTCCGCCTCCTCCTCCTCCTCCTGCAGCACCCGACCCGTGGGCGCACCCCCCCATGACGTTGCCCCTGCGCCTGGTCGTAGCGGGACAGGACGGCCTCGATGCGCGGCAGGCGGCTCACGTCGGAGAGGCGGAAGAAGGGGCGCTGGGCCTCCTTTTGGGCGCCCGAGTTATCCGGGGTAACTCGGGCCCGGGGTAAGTCGGGTTTGGATTCCCGAAAAAGGAACCCGAGTTACCCCTGATGATTCGGGGCTCTGGACGCCCGAGTTATCCGGGGTAACTCGGGTCCGGGGTGACTCGGGTTCGGATTCCCGAAAAACGAACCCGAGTTAGCCCTGACCCGAGTTACCCCTGATGATTCGGGGCTCTGATCCTTGTCGCGGAGGCACTCCATCCTGGCCATGAGAACCTTTCGGGTCGGGCGAAAGGGGGGGATAGCAAAGGGGAGGTTTGAGAATCAGCTCGCGCAGCTGACTTTCCCGGCGCCTCCCGGCGCCAGAGGCGGCCATGCACCGAGGAGTGGGCCCCTCGGTGGGGCCGAAACCAGCTGCATGCAGCAAATTTCGTAAGCCCCCCTTTCCCAGTCCCCCCCTTTCGCCCGACCCGAACCTTGTTGTGCTGCAGATTGAACTCGTCGAAGTAGAACGAGAAGTGGTCCCTGAGCTTCTTCACGTCCTTCTCCTCTGGGTGCCACCTGCAGCGGCGGGCAGAAGCGGGTCCTGCGCGAGCCCGCACGCCGCCCTGACGCGGTGGCTCACGCGGGCCGCCAGCGGCGGGGCGCCTGCGCTGGAACCTGGGGCGCCGAACTGCGCGCGGCCGTGCGCGGGCAGCTGAGGCGCCGGGTCGGTGCAGACGACCCCGTTTTGTCTGCGCGCCGCCTCTTCTGGCGCCTCTTGCCCTGGCCAGGCGCTGCCTGTTTGGACGCCCGAAATGGGCACGGAAAGAATGGGTGCAATGCCCAACAGCAAATGTTGTCCCAAACCAACAGCGGCCGCTGTTGGGCGGGCGGCCAGCCTGTCTCGAATGGACACAGGCCGCGGCGGCGCGGACAGCGAGTCCTGTTCAAAATGAACAGGAACTGCTGTTGGGCATCGTACCCATTCTTTCCGTACCCATTTCGGGCGTCCAAAGCCTGGCCCGCGTCGGGAAGCGCCGACGGCCGGGAGAAACTCATCCCGGACGCGTCGAATTCCACGCCCTCCAACGGCTCCACGGCCGCCTGCAGGCACGTCAGCATGGCCTCGCAGGGCAGGGCCAGGCCGGGGACACAGCTGGACCAGGACAGGTCGGAGATCTCAGAGATCTCCTCCTCTGTCCTCCTCAATCCTGCTCCTCCCACTCCTCCTCCTCCTCCTCCTCCTCCGCCTCCTCCACCTCCTCCTCCTCCTCCTCCTCCTTCTCCTCCTCCTGGTGGTTATGGGGATGTATCAGGCGCCGCATCTGTCTCAGAGCATTCCAGAGCGCTCTGCGAGCGTTCTGGAACGCTCTGGAACAATTTCTTCTATGGAAGGGAAAGACACGGTAACCATGACCAGAACTGAGCGCGGCAACGTCGTGCCGATCTTGGTCACCGTCGGTCTTGGTCAGAGTCGGCTCGTGGATCATCCTCGCGGACTGGCGGCAGCAGACACAGACGATGACCAAGATCTGCATCGGCAAGGTCCCACGACATCTTGGTCATGGTCCCCATGCTTCTTCCCTGGACTTTTACCCCTGTCCCAGCCCTGCCCGAGGCCTGCTTGTCGTCCACCTTTAGGCGCGCCAGCGCGATCCGGACGCTGGGGTGCTCTGCCAGGAACGCCAGCGACACCTCGCCCTCGTTCCGCAGGAGGGCGATGAGCTTCTCGTCGCTCTCGAGCAGGGGCTTGACCACTGCGCGCAGCGGCTCCGAGGGGGGCAGCAACACCACGAAGTGCTCCCCAGACTCATCCACCGAGACCTCCAGCATCGTCGACTCTGCCAGCGCCTGCGCGACGACTTCGGCAGCGTTGGCGTAATCGCTGTCCGATGAGGCGGAGGCGCCTGCCCCCGCCGTCGCCACGTAGACCTGCACTGGCGGGTGCTGGAGTAACTCCCAGATGGGCGCGGGCCCGGCCACCAGCTGCTGCCTCTCCAGCAGATAGTCCTCGCACTGGACGCAGACGCGCTCCGAATGCGACAACGCGCGGACGGTCAGATTGACCTTGTCTGCGGTGATGAACTGGTGACTCTCGGGCGTCTTCTTGATCGCGAGGACCAGCTGCTCCGGGTTGTGCCAGCACGACTCCGACAGCCGCGCGCTCGCCGCGAAGAGGGTGTTGATGGACACAGACCCGTCGGGCCCCATCTTGCTGGCCAGCTGGGGGGACGGCCTCTCCAGCGCCTGCAACGCCTTTCGAGGCCTCCCAGATGGGGCCGGAGTAGATGGGGTCGAAGGACCGCGCCGCAGCGCCAATGCACCGCGGATGCATCGGCGATGCATCGGTGACATCGGCGATGCATCGGCGACGCCAGCGCGTGGAGAACCGGGCTCCACATCGAGCCGCATCGACGATGCAACGGCGATGCGGCGCGACCCTCCGACCCCATCTACTCCGACCCTATCTCGGGAGGGGCCAAGAGGGGGGGGTCCAAGAGGGGGGGGTGCAAATCGTGGCCAGCGGCATATGCGCGGCCCAGGGGGGGAGCCAGGAACGTACTGAAACAAGACGAGGCGCCATGAAATCTGGGGAAATATCATGGCCCCCGCCATGAGATCCACCCCCCTAGTCATCACCCCCCTCTTTGCCGCCCCCGACCATCTAGGAAGCCCAGAGCCTTATGGACGACCGCAGCGTGGCGGCTGCGGAAGCCCGGCCTCCTCATTCGGCGGTGGACACATCTCCCCTTAGCAGACCTCCCCCGAGTGAAAACGGCCTGGGACCGAACCCGACGGACCTGGACCCGCAAAAAGGACGGCCGCGACGCCCTCTCGCGAACCGAAAACGGCCAATTCCTTGATCGGCGTGTCAGGGCAGGAGGTCTGTCCAACCCCGACTCGTCCTCGACCTGGCGCCGGGCCACTGGCCGCCGGCCCAGCCCGGCGCGGGCTCGAAGGCGCTGGAGCCCGCAGCGGGGACCTCGGCGGGGAACCACACCTGTAGGAGGAGAAACCAACGCCATGTAGAGCCTTACCTTCCCAGAGATCCGCCGGGTTGGAAACATCACGGCGAAGATTGTTGTAGGTTTTTTCACAGTTTTCGGCCTCGAGGGGCCCTCGCCGGGCCTCAGGGCCGTCCAACAACGACTCGGGACGAAAAGCCGGTGCTGTGGAATGGGTCGAGACTTCTGGGGACCCCGCATTGGACAAATCACGGCGTCGGATCTCTGGGTTCCACAGTGCAAAAAAAAACAGACCTAGTTATAGACCCATCTGGACTGCTTCAAACCTCGATGGTGTTTTAGATGTCGAGGTCCTGTGGTGCTATTTGTGAGCCCTCGAAGAAAGCCTGGGAACATCAACTTTTGGCGCTCCGCGCGGACTTCTTGGATCTGCGCTGGACCCCCCTCCCGGCGCCGGAGGCGCCGCTGGGGGGGCCCAGCACGGATCCAAGCAATCCGCGCGAAGCGCCCGAAATTCTGTTTATACGGCGCTGCTTTCTGCTTCGGGAACCCACTGCCCCTCGCCGGGCACGCCGGCGAACGGGGCGCATGGAACTTCCGGCCCCAGCGCGGCGCCTCGTCGTCGTCGTCGTCGCCGCCGCCGCCGCCGCCATCGTCCTCGTCGTCGTCGTCGTCGTCATCGCTGCCGCCGCCGCCGCCGCCGCCGCCGCCGCATCCGTCGTCGTCGTCGTCGTCGTCGTCGTCGTCGTCGTCGTCGTCGTCGTCGTCGCCGTCGTCGGGCGCGCCAGCGCTCCCCTCGTGCGGCGGGGGCGCCGCCGCGGGCCCGTCGGCGCCGCAGGAGCGGCTCTGGTCGGTCGCCTGCGGGGCCTCCGCGTCGCTGCCGTCGCCGCGGAGGCCTCCGCGTCGCTGCTTCGCGGCGGGGGGCAGAGATTCTCCTCCTCCTGTTCCTCCTGCTCCTCCTCCTTCTCCTCCTCCTCCTCCTCCTCCTCCTCCTCCTCCTCCTACTCCTCCTCCCCCTGCTCCTCATCCTACTCCTCCTCCTCCTCCTCGTCCTCCTCCTCCTCCTCCTCCTCCTCCTCCTCCTCCCTCCTCCTCCTCCACCTCCTCCCCCCTCCCCCTCCCTCCTCCCCCCCTCCTCCTCCTCCTCCACCTCCTCCTCCTCCTCCTCCTCCTCCTCCTCCTCCTCCTCCTCCTCCTCTCCTCCCTCTCCTCCTCCCCCTCCTACTCCTCCTTTTCCTCCCCCTCTCCCCCTCCTCCTCCTCCTCCCCTCCTCCTCCTCCTCCTCCTCCTCCTCCTCCTCCTCTTCCTTAGCCATTTCGGCTCAAGGCTTTGAGTTCCCCAGTGGAACAAGTGGATACCGCTAGTCCGCGGCAGTGCCAGAGCGCTTGCGCTCGACAGTCTTTTTCGTTCAGCCAGTACCGCAGGGGCTCTCTGGCGGCCCAACTCGCAGCAAAGACGTCGCCATGGTGCCAGCGCCGTGGACATGGAGTGGAAAGCAGCAGCAGGAGTCCAAGCAAGATTGGATGTGCAAATTTTGCACGTTTCGTCGTACTGGGGCTCCTCTCATCAACTATGGGATCAATGAGAAGTGCTACAAGTGCAAGCTGCACAAGTGCGTCGTTCCCTCGGACTCTCCCAGCAGGACCAAGCGCAAGGCCGACGGCACCAATGCTGCAGCGGCCGCATCGTATGCCAAGTTGGAGAAGCGCCTGCACCAGCTGGAGGCCGAGAATGCAAAGCTGCGTGGTTCGCCTGACTCGTGTGGAGGCGACGCGGCAGAAGAGCACAATGAGTCGGAAGAGCTACGTGATGAGATCGATGGGCTCAGCAAGCATGTGCAGCGGCTGGAGTCGATCCGCTCCCCTTGGGCGGAGCTACCTCTCAAGGCTGCTCGCGAGCAGCTGGAGGGAGCTCGTCGCAAGCTGTATGAGAACAAGCCCTTGCCCGCGAAGCTCACGGCATTGTCGCGCCGAGCTGAGCAGGCCCGCATCCGCTACCAGAAGGCGGAGCAGGACAGAGCGGCAGCGGACCAGAAGCTGCTCAAGGCGCAGGAGGAGGCCAAAGCAGCTGCGCAAGTGGTCCTGGAGCGCCAGAAGGTCTGCCTGCAGCTGGAGGAGGAGGTGCGTGCTCTCGCATCTTCGCAGCCAGCTGATGAGCCAGGTCAGCATCAGGCTATGGACCTCACGGGCCCTGAGATCAAGTTGGACGAGGCCAAGTTGCTTTCAGCGCTTGGTGCGATGGAGGGCGTCGAGGACGCCAGCAAGCTTGCCCCGAAGCTGGCTGAGGTGCTCAAGCCCTGGGCGGCTGAGCTGCTGGAGGAGCCGCCTGGCAAGCGAGCTCGCGGGGCAGCAAGCGGAGGTCAACCAGCGGTGCCGCCCCCAGCAGCATGGGACATCGACACGATCGAGTTGGAGCTGCTGCGCAAGGATGTCGGCACCTTGGCTGACGAGGGTGAGGACGAGGAGGAGCTTCGAGCCAAAGCTCGTCTTTTGGCAGCAGGAGATTTCAAGCCTAAGCGGCTACACACCCCTAACTATTGAGTGCCCCCCCTCGTGTCCTCGGATGCGGTCAAAGGGGGCGAAGTGGAAGACATTCGTTTAAGACCAGTAACCTACGGAGGCCTGCAGTTCCCTGATTACAGCTGCCTGGACCTGTGCGAGTATTTGAATGGAGAAGAGGCATCAAGCGATGTGGCGCCTCTCTCTGCTGGGCAACTTGCAGGGCAACACTCTGTTCCACCTGGCCCTGCCGCACCACGTGAGCCCCCTCCTGTTCATGATTTGGAGTTGCGCGGTCGGAGTTCAACTTACACAGCGCTTAGCAAGCTTCAGCTGGCTGGTGACAAGCAGCCGATACAATCGTTCGGGGTCAGCACGGAGTTCACGGTGGCATGCTACAACTGCAAGTCCTGGGCCACGGCTCAGAGTTTCATGGACTGGTGCGTGCTGGACCAGTTGCTACAGGCGGACATTTTCGTGCTGCAGGAGCTCCGCCTGGCAGCAGGTGAGCAGATCCGACGCGGTCAAGCTTGGGCTCGTGCTCGAGGCTATAGGCTGGAGGCGTCACCGTGCGCGAGCACTGGCCATTCGGCTTTGTCGACGTCCTGTGGGGTAGGCCTGTGCACGCGTGCTCACATTCCTGTTGTAGAGTATTTGCCAGCATGTGCACACCCCAGGAGCAGGCTAAAGTTTCAGTGCACTGTATTCGGCGATATGCAGATTCTCTTTGTTTCGGTTTATGGAGAGGTGGGGGTGGGCCTAAAGGGCAACGTGGAGCCCTTGGGAGCTCTCGTTGAGGCCATCAGGGCCTCGTGCCTGCCCTTCTGCATTGCTGGAGACTGGAACATCGAAGCTGAGCTTTTTGGGGCCGACAGTTTTCTTCGGCATGGTTTCCTAAACGTGCTACACGCGGAGGTTGTGCGCGTTGAACAGCCCACGTGTAATGACAGCTGCATAGACTTTTTCGTGATGAGTGATGTGCTAGCGCCCTTCGTCCGTAGCATATGCCTTCGGCAAGACACCCCCGTGGGGCCCCACAAAGCGGTTGCCCTCAGGATGTCGGGGGCAGGAAGCCACAATTTCATTTACAGGCGGATCCAGCCCGAGGCGTTCAGGCCCACCCAAAAAAGAAGGAGCTTTTTGTTCCAGGAGACACCTCGGGCTGGCCAGGTTTCGAAATTATTGCTGGGGGATCCGTGGACAGTCTTGCGCGCAGGTGGTTCCCCTCCGCTGATCTGTATCTGTGCATGTGCACGGGGCTGCCCGAGTTTGACAGGCCTCGTTATTCTGGGCATGCTGCTGGGTGCCGTCTGGAAAAAGTGTCCCTGTCTTGCGCTCGGGGAAAAAGTGTCCGAACAAAGGCCAGCGCGTTAACTCAGAAGTGGCCAACGCTTCGCAGAGTGACGATGCAATGGCTCCGCGCGCAAGACTCCACGGCCCGAGGTAGGAATGCTGCGATCAGCAGCGCTGTTGCGCGCATGGAGGAGGTTGGTATTGTTTGGGCGGGTTCGGGGGAGGCGGGGGCCTTGGCGACTCTGGAGGCTGTGTCACCAAGCTCGCATGCCGCCTTCCTTGCTCGTCTCGAGGATCCTGACTCTCGTGTTGATGTGTGTGACTTGCGTCAGCGCCGTGTGCAGCAGCAGACGAGCAAGGATGCGTCGGCGGCGCGACAGTCTTGGAAGGAATTGCCAGAGCTCGCGTTCCAGGGAGGAGGGGGCCCTGCGCGGCCCCCAGGGCAATTCCCAACAAGTGCTTGCTGACTCGGTGCCCGTCGTGGGCCACGAGGCCTTGACGGCCATGCTGGGGACTTGGGTCTCGCACTGGAAGCTTCCGTCCAGGGGCCTGGAGCCCCACCCCCTCTCCTGGGATGTTTCAAGCGCGACTCCCCTTCCCGAAATTGAGCCAGCAGGGGTGCGAGCAGCACTGGGGCCGTTCAGGCCCAACACTGGTCTAGGCTGGGATTCCTTTCGCCCGAGGTGGATTGAAAAGTTGCCTGAGCCTCTCATAGAGGCGTTGCTCTCGATTTTACATCGGTGGGAAGCCGAACCAGAGCTCACCGGCACATGGCTCACTCTCATCGTTTTTTCCCCCAAACCACAAGGGGGGGAAAGGCCCACAGGCCTGCTGCCCTTGTCTGCTAGAATATGGTCCAGATTGCGACACAAGCAAGTCTCCAAATGGGAATCCAAGTTGCCCGATAAGTTTTTGCCGGGGAGCCTCTAGTGATACCTCATGAGACAAATCCGCCTGGATACACAACACCCTGGCGGCTGTGGCTCCTCAATTAGGCTTTGTCAGTTTCAGCGCGGTTGTGGACCTCCGCAAGTTTGATGAAATGGTCAGCCATCAGGAACTGTTGTGTGCTGCCAGGGATACGGATTTCCCCCTGGCTCTTCTGAAGCCCTTGCGCGCCTTGCACAGAGGCCCGAGGAGGGCCGTTTACCAGCAATCTGTTTCGGAGGTCATTAACGCGAACGGGTCCATTATTGCAGGTTGCTCATGCGCAACTGGGTTGGCTAAGTTGATGACGATCACAACGCTCAGGAGCATAGGGGCCAAGTGTAACCTCATCAGAATCAAGAACTTGATCGATGATATCAACTTACATGTGGAAGGAGGGCCCGCTCAGGTTGCAGATCAGGCTATCACTGGTCTAACGATGCTGTTAAAAGGCATGGGGGGCCGCAGACTCCCGATTTCGTGGGACAACGGCGGTCTATTATGTAGTGATGATGAAGTTTTCCGTAAAGTAAGAGCGAGTGTGCGAGATCTCTGGCCAGAAGATGTTTCTTGCCCTGGACGCGACGCCCTCCATAGAGATCTGGGGGGGAGACGCAATTGACGGAAGAATGGGGAGGATCAGTACTCAGGTTTCGAGGATCTCAGAGGCCATGCAGCGAGGCGTGCGTATCAAAGCTCTCCAGGGACTGGGTCGTCAAAAATCAGCTGTGCATCGTGCAGGGGTCCTGGCCAAATCTCTGTGGGGCTCCAGTATCCATGGTGTGGCAAGTTCGAGGATCCAGTCCCTGCGCATGTCGTACTTGAACGCTGGCAAGTACAAGCCAGGTGCATCAGTGGGTCTTTCACTGCTGACGGCAGAGTGCGGCTGGCAGCAGGACCCACTGGTTATTGCGACGGTGGACGCTGTCCACACCTTTGCTGTCGCCATGAATTCACAGGCCGTCACATGGGCGGTCGTGGACAGATTGCTCAAAGAAGCGAGGCCACTGCTACTGGATCCACAACGCTGGGCCAAGTGCAAAAACCCGATTGCTGCGCTTCTCCTCTCGCCCCACAGGATTGGGTGGTCTTGGGAGGGCGTCCACACCATCAGAGATGACGACGAGCAGCTTTGGGACGTCAGAACCACTCCGCCCGCCCTCCTGAGCTCGATGGTCAAGCACGGGGTTCGGAGGCACATCGATAGGGAAGCTCTCCACCGGCTCGCTGATGGTGACTCACGAGTCCCTCAAGGCCCTTTATCGTGGATACCCATGAACGAGGTCTTACACTCAAAGCGCAGTAAGTTGACGCCAAAGGAAAAGAGGGCTCTCAGGGGCCTGTGCTCGGGGGCCCACTGGTGCCAGCACAGGGTCTCGAAGTCCTTCAACGGGGAGCCCTCGGTATGCTTGAGGTGCCAAGGCTGCCCAGACACGTTCTATCATAGGTTCTTTGAGTGCGACGCGTACCACTACTTCAGACAGGAGAGGCTCCCGAAGGAGCTCCACAGTGCAGTCGAGCGTATGAAGCAGGCCCCTGAGGCCCTACAAACTCTTTTCTGCCGTGGCCTTCTTCCTGACCCTGCTCAAGCGTTCGCTTATCCGAGCAGGAACCCAGTACACCACTTTTATGACATGGACCGTAAAGGAGTTGTTCATGTTGAAGGAGGCTTTGTTTTCACTGACGGAAGTGGGTTCTACACTGACATACCGTGCATGGAGAAGCGCTGGATGGTCAGTTGTTGTATACGACCATGAGCGCAGGAGGGTGGCCAGATTCTACGGTGCAGTGCTAAAAGACTTGTGCCCCCTACAAATGGCAAAGTGTGGAGAGGATTATGCGATGCTGATGGTCAGCAGGCAGGTTCTTGGATCATACACTGTGCTCTCAGACTGTCAGGGCACGCTGGCGTACTGTCGTTCTCCTAACCTGGCAGTGGGAGCAGGCAACCCAAGAGCGAATGCGTGGAAGATGATTGCTCCGAATGAGGAGTTCCATCGGCAGGCGCTCAAGCATGTGAAGGGCCATGCTACACCGACGGATGTGATTGAAGGTGTGTTGTCTGATTTTGAGTTGACGGGCAATTCCACAGCTGATGCTTTGGCGAAGCGAGGGGCTGCATACAATATGCCAGATGCTGAGCATGTGGATTTCGTTCGTGGCTGCAGGAAGCTGCACAAAATGCTACTGCAGTGCCTTGGGAGTTTTCAAGCATGGCTATATGACTTCAACGCGGACGGCCTGGACTACCATTTCCCGCTGAAGGAAGATGGGGCGCAGGAGGACCCAGGACAGCCTTCCCTGCCCGCCATGGTGGGCAACGAGCCTTTCGGTGAACTGATCCTGGAAGACGAGCTCGATGGTTTTCTGGAGCCATGGAAGGTGTCAGGCCACAGCTTAGTGGAATATCCGATGGTGGATTCACCGCATTTCATTTTGTTCTGTTCTACGTGCTGTCAGCATTTTTGCTCTGATTCCAAGAATCAGCGAGGGCTGGCTCAGAAGTGTAAAGGCAAGCATGGAGGTGGCCGCGAGGCGGAGAACCGACGGCACTTCGATAATCTCAGGCCTCCACAGGCGATACGAGCTCATGTTAGGCTCGAGTCGCCGAGATCGCCATCTGGGCCAGCACGAAACATGGTGAGAGTGACCAAGACGTGGGAATTGGAGTTGAGCAGCCGCTCCGTTCAGACCCCAATGAAGAAGCAGAGGCTCCTGGACACTTCACGTATTCTCCTGGCGCACGGGCTCGAGTATTTTGAGGCCGTGGAGCTAGGCCAGAGTCCCGAAGATGATGATGACGACCAAGAGTCGGAGTGAGTGTGCAGCCGTGGCTGCATACAGTGGTGGAGCCGCAATGTGGTGTTTGATCCTCGGCGGCTTTGGCAACTTGTTTCGCTTTCAAATCCTGTGCCCTTGGGGCGGCAGGTTCGTTCGTCGCCAGGTGGGTGACTCCCGTCCGAGCTTCTTGCGGTTGCAGCGTTGCTGGCTCTTGAATGCTCTATGTGGCGGGAGCGCCTGTCCGCTTTGCCATGGTTCGATCGTGCTGCTGTGTTTCAGCGTCCCCGTCGATTGCCACGTCGGCGGCGTTTTTCACGAGGGCTTGCCGTTCGCTGACCTGACGCTGAACTGGGTGTGGTGGTTGCACCAGCTCATGGCGCTGGGAGCCCTCGTGGTGCTCTTCGGCGCCCTGGAGGGCCTCGTGCGTGTGAGCACGGGCCTGCCGCGGGCCCCGTGCTCCCTGGCCGCCCGCAGCCGTTGAGGTAGGCACGTCCCCCACGCCCCGTCCTGGCGCTTGCAAGGTGGTCCTGGCCTTCGGGCTCCACCGTGTAGGTGCTGGAGGGGGTTGTGAGGGCTGTACCTCCCTCCCCGTCTCTGGATCCAACTGCCCCTCGGCTTCCGCTCGCTCGCTCGCTCCTCCTCCTCCTCCCCCCCCCTTCTCCCCCCCTCCCCCTCCCCCCCCCTCCCCCTCCTCCCCCTCCTCCTCCCTCCTCCTCCTCCTCCTCCTCCTCCTCCTCCTCCTCCTCCACCTCCTCCTCCTCCTCTCCTCCTCCTCCTCCTCCACTCCTCCTCCTCTCCTCGTCCTCTCCCTCCTCTCCTCTCCTCCTCCCTCCTCCTCCTCCCCCTCCTCCTCCTCCTCCTCCTCCTCCTCTCCTCCTCCTCCTTCCTCCTCCTCCTCCCCTCCTCCTCCTCCCTCCTCCTCCTCCTCCTCCTCCTCCTCCTCCCCCTCCTCCTCCCTCCTCCTCCTCCTCCTCCTCCTCCTGCTCCTCTCCAGGGGGGGGGGGGGGGGGGGGCACGAGGCGTGCACTTCTCGTGCCCCATGTGGGGCCCTGGGGCCCCTGTAGTCGGGGGCGCGCAAGCATGGAGTAGCGATCCATGGATTTGGCGCGCGGTCGCCAAATCTGATGGGCCTGTCTTCCACCACCACCATCATAAGTTGGAGGGGGGAAGGAGGAGGAGGAGGAGGAGGAGGAGGAGGAGGAGGAGGAGGAGGAGGACCCCCTCCCCCTCCAACTTATGGTGGTGGTAGTGGAAAACAAGCCTATCAAAATCCATGGATCGGGGGAGGTGCCCTCCCCAAAATGCGGCCAGTGACCGCTCGGTCGGCGCCGGAGATCCGCGATGTCCCCTGGAACGGGAGCCCTCGCTCGTCCACGCCACCTTGATCCATGTTTGCGATCGCCTGATGCAGGGCGCAGAAGGCGCACCTTTCGTCACGCTCCCCCCCTCTGTCGCACCCCCCTTCGGCGGCTAGCCCCGGGGGAAAGCCCTGACCTTCCAGAGTTTTCAAAATAGTCCTCCAGACCAATGGACCCATCTGGACTGCTTAAAACCTCGACTGGATGTTGGATGTCGACGTGCTGGTGCTAATTTTTAGCTCTCGAGGGAGGTCTGGGTGAGAGAGGGTGTGGCCTCTTCAGAAGGCTCGGAAGTTCCCCTGCCTTCCGACAACTTTTCTAATCCGCCCCCAAGGCACAAAACACCGCGAAGCCCCGCCGCTTTCTGAGAAGACCGTCTCCTTCTCGTTTCGCCCCCTCTGAGGTCATGCTGCTCCCATCGTATTCAAAGACCACATGCCAGAAATAGTTTCGAGCACCCCGAAAAGCATCGAAACGAAGTCTGCCCAGCATGCTGGCGAAGTGCCGAGCGAGTGTCGCCTCCAAGGGCCCGACGCGAGAAAACCGTCCAGTTTCGATACGTCTTGGTGCAATAACTTCTTTCTGCTGGTCAAAATTAAACATAGGTTGGAACATCATAACTTTAAGTTGGTGGATGCCACGACAATGGACACCCTAACAATCCGATCATTGAATCAAATCATGTGTGTAAACTGTTGGCACACGTTATGAGTATGTTGTAAACATGCTTGTGCACGTTTACAGCATGTGGAACAAATGTCTTAGACATCGGGGAATTATTTGGCAACATGCGTCCTCTCCATTGATTGTCCTCCACAGCTCCAAGGCGGAGCCCGGACAAAGATCCAACGATCGAAAACCTCGGAGGTCCGGCGGATCTGGAGGATGTCTCGGCGGCCGCAGCCCTCTCGGAGCATTCTGCATCGCTCCGAGAGCGTTCGGGAACGCTCGGGACCAGCTTCATCGAAATGGCCTTAGGACACACACAAATATATACACACACCAATAACAGGATTCCCCGTATTTTCCCATATCTTCTGGGTTAAATGCCTCCCCACCACTGCCCATATTTTCCTATATTTTCTGGGGAATCGACGACTCATGGTGTCTGTGTGCTTTTTCCCCTCCTGATTCACCCCAGGCCTTCCCCGAGGGCTACAAGATTAGCACCAGGACCTCGACATCTAAAATCCAGTCGAAGTTTCAAGCAGCCCAGCTGGGTCTATAGGTCTGGACGGTTCCTCTTGAGCGCTCTGGAGGGTCAGGGACCCTCGTCCTGGCCCCGTCCGGCCCTCGCCCGCCCCTCAGATCTGACGTCTCGAAAAAACTGAACCATCGCGAGAACTCACGACCGCAGCCCTAGATAGGGGGCCACATGCGAACCCTACCCCTACCCCTCACGATTTCTGAGGGGGAGGGGTAGGGTTCGCATGTAAGCCTCTACTGGACCCCATCCTTAAGCGTCATTATTCGAGCCGGCTCGATCTGCGAGGGTCCCGGGGCCCGAAACTGGGCGACGGCGCGCGGCTTGAAGAAATGGAGTCGCCGGGATCTCGGGGGCCGCCGGCCCGTTGCTTTGGACACCCGAAATGGGTACCGAAAGAATGGGTACAATGCCCAACAACAAATGTTGTCCCAAACCAACAGCGGCCGCTGCTGGGCAGGCGGCCTCCTGTCTCGAATGGACACAGGCCGCGGCGGCGTGGACAGCGAATCCTGTTCAGAATGAACCAGAACTGCTGTTGGGCATCGTACCCATTCTTTCCGTGCCCATCTCGGGCGTCCAGCCCGAGAGGAGGAGAAGGAGGAGGAGGAGGAGGAGGAGGAGGAGGAGGAGGAGGAGGAGGAGGAGGAGGCTCGAGAAAATGGAATCGCCAGGATCTCAGGGGCCGCCGACCCCTTGCGCAGCGCCCGGCGACCGAGCTGGGCCGGGAGCCCGGGCGGGCAGGCGTCGTCGCCGCGGCCCAGGGCGGCGGGGCCCGCGGCGGGGGCCTCCCCCGGCAGGGGGTCGCTGGCGCCCGTCGGCGCGGCGGCGGCGGCCTCTTCTGCGGCAGCCCACGGGGGCCTCCCATACCATCTTTGAAGGGGCCCCAGGACACACAAATAAATACACACAAATCAACATATTCCCTATATTTCCATATATTTTCTGGGTTTTCGTTTTCCCCCCCACGTCCCATAGTTTCCCATATTCTCGGGGGAATCGACGATTAATTGTGTCTGTGTGTTTCTTTCCCTCCTGAATCTTGTCGGCTCTCACGAACCGAAGCTCGCCGACGCGAATCGGCGCTAAGTCGACGCTAAGTCGACGCTGGGTCGACGCGAATCGGGGATCGTCGACGCTCAGCGATGCTAAGTCGGCACGGATTCATCGATTACCAGACGCTGATCGAAACCAACGCACTCGAAGCACATAACTACGAGGGCACAGTTAGCCCCCATGGCTTGCGACCAAAGGCCTCGGCTGGGAGGACCAGGGGGCACCAGAGCCACTGGCCACCGGCGCCGCCGCACAGAGGCATGAACTGCTGGTCCTCTGCAGGTGGCGACATCCGAACCCCTTTTCGTACCCCACCAACCATCGATCCTCCTTGATCGATAAGCGGCAGGGAAGGGGGGGCTAGGGTTCGGATTTCGCCACCTGTTCGACGACGTCCGAAACCAGCCCCCCGCCGCCCATCGGGTTGTCTGCATCGATGATCGGCGAGGGGAGGGTTCGGATTTCGCCGCCGGTCCTCAGGCCCCGACCACTGGGGGGCGTGCTCAGACTGCGAGGCACCTGCTGCGGCCGCAGCCGCCGCCGCGCCGAGGTGCGCCGCGCCCGCCGCGCACTCGCGGCCCGTCGCGGGCGACTCGCCGCAGCCCTGCGCCCCGCCCGGCGCGCAGGGAGACGATCCGCACGCTCCAGGCTCGCTCCCGAGCGAGGGCGTCCTTGAAGGGGCCCTGGGACGCACAAGTAAACACACACACGCACACAAGTAACAGGATTCCCCAGATGTTCCCAATCGTTTCAGGGTTTTCGTTTCCCCCCCCCACTGCCCATATTTTGTCATATTTGGTGGGGGATCGACGATTCATTGTGTCTGTGCTTCTTCCCCTCCTGAGTCCTGAACGCGCTCTCTGGCGTCGGCGCGTCGCCGTCGGCGCCGGGCTCCTGCCGGCGACACGCTTCGGGGCGGCCATATGCAGCGGGGCGGCCGAATCCAAGCGCCAAGAGAGCCCAGAACTTGCCATCGCTCGGACGTCCATTCCCTGTGCACTTTTTGGTGCCATGTTTTTTTTTGTTTTGTTTCTTTTTCTTCTTGTTTCTCTATTTCTTTCTTTCTTTTCATTGCTCGATGGTCCAGGATGGAGCTCGATGGTTCTCGCCGAAAAAAAACGCACACGTCCGAGCGATGCCAGGATGATCGAATATTGGTTTCCATCGTGGGTATGTTACTATAGAGAGGGTCATGAAACAAACATTGGAACACAGATTATGCCGATCTGTGCATATGCGGTCTGGCAAATCGTGGCGGCATCAACGCGACGCCAAGGGGCGTCGTGGACTCGAGTCTTTGGCCTGGAAGCACGAAGCGCACGATTACCCATATCATGAAGTTCTGCAACCAGTCACTGTGTTCTGGGGGGGTGCACGGACACGCAGAACACTGTTCAGCTAATCGTTAGCTGGCGCCCGCCTCGAACTCATGCCCCATCCCCCGCCGCCTCCCAATATCCCTTCGTTTTGGCCCCACTCTCCTCGTGCCCCTCCGATTACCCCCAGTCCTCATCATGCCCCTCATCCACATTGCCCCCTCCCCCCCCCTGCGCCAATTCATGTCGTTCCTCGTCTTCCTCCTCCGCCATATTAATTTCCCCCATCGTCCACATGCCTGCCTTCCTCCCGTCCTCTACGCCCTAGTGCACATCATGCCCCCTCCTTCTGCCCCCCCCGCCTCCCTCGTCCACGTGACGCTGACACCGATAATGCAGTTCCTCCTGGGCCCGTTTCCTCCCCTCTCGTCCAGGCCCGTTCATCCCTGGCCCCTTGGCCACCCCTCCTATCGAACCCCTTCCTTCCCGCAGTCCACCATCCCTACCCCCCGCCCCGCTGCGTGCCCAGACCGCTGCCCCCTCCTGGGCCAGCCGGGGGACCCGCGGAAACTCCCGCCCAGTGACCACTCCAGCGAGCTGCGCGCATCAGATGCACATTTGGAGACACGAGCTGTGTATGTCGACCGCGTGCGACGCCCCCCCGTGGACTAGCCGAAAGAGACACGTGAAAGTTCCCGCCCAATCAACACCACCCGCGAGGCGCACGCTCCAAATACACAAATGGGAACGAGATCTGTGCACACATATCACATCACGATCTGTGTAAACAGTTGGCCCACACACGAACATACACAGTTGAAGACACAAGCTGTGTACACAAATCACACCTTTTATCTGTGCATTTCGGAGAAAATGAACGCTCGCCACCTCGAGGGTGCCCCGACCTTGCCAACCCCAAACCGAGGTCGACATGCCCAGCTAGGGGGGATGCAAGTACGCACTTTCCCGGCCCAGGGCGCCCCCGAGGGAGCTCGAAATACACGCTTCACTGGCCCAGGGCGGCCGCGGTGAAACGCAGCGCCAAATTGGCCCCAACGGCTCGAAGACTCGCCGAAGGGCCTCGGAGGACCCCAGAGAATGCCGCGCAGCAGTCCGAAAACACGAATGGTGTCACATGCCATGGACCTCTTAACATGCCAGGTTACAGAGCGCTGCTCTGGCAACGGGGGGGACCCTGCCGCAGGCACCTAAAATTTACACGCTAGCGATGCGACTGTGCTCGGCGGCCGTGCCGCCCGCGTTTGGAGTGCGCCCCGAACGCTCGCATTGTCAATCGCCTCTGTTTGGTTGCGCCGCTGTGCTCGGGCATCGAAAAGGCGATATACCGCTGATACGGGCACGCGGCACCAGGGACTTCACTTCTCGAACATGGATGGAAGACGAGGTAGGACGACGGACGGTGGAGCAGGGAGGCAAAGAGGAACGAGGAATAATGAGGGAGGTGGGAAGGGGCGCTCCCCCGCCCGAGCCGCGGACGCTTTCGACACCATCCAGGGGAGGGAAGAAAGGAGGGGGAACGGAGCAAGGGCGAGGACGACGACGAGAATCAAACTGTGCTGGGCCCGCATATAGCCATATGCTTGCGATTCGGGTGCGCGCGCTTTCTTCGAGGCGCTTCAAGCCCGACCCATACTGAATTCACGAATTCCTCCAAACTGTGTAAACACTACGTTCTGTGTTCCCTCTCCTATACAACTGCCTCAGACCAGAAGGACAGTGGATTCCAAATCGAATCGATACACCTGATCGGCGATCGAAATGACTCGGATCGGCGGAAATCGGCAGGCGAGTCGGGAGGCGTCGAAGCCACAGAAATCGGAAGGCCAGCAGGCCTCCGTGGAGCCATCGGCATCCACATCGGAATCCGACGGCGCATCGAGTCGGAACCGGAAGCCGTCGACATCGAATCGAATCGATGCGGAGGATTCGAAACGAACCCTGTGTACTTAAAACGTCGTGATTTTTACAATACGCGGTCCCTGGAAGTCTCGACCCATTCCCCAGGACCAGCTTTTCATCCTGAGTTGGGCGCCCGAATTATCCGGGGTAACTCGGGTCCGGGGTAACTCGGGTTTGGATTCCCGAACAACGAACCCGAGTTAGCCCTGACCCGAGTTACCCCTGATGATTCTGGGGCTCTGGACGCCCGAATTATCCGGGGTAACTCGGGTCCGGGGTAAATCGGGTTCGGAATCCCGAAAAACGAACCCGAGTTAGCCCTGACCCGAGTTCCCCCTGATGATTCTGGGGCTCTGGACGCCCGAGTTATCCGGGGTAACTCGGGTCCGGGGTAAATCGGGTTCGGAATCCCGAAAAACGAACCCGAGTTAGCCCTGACCCGAGTTACCCCTGATGATTCGGGGCTCTGACTGAGCCGTTCTTGGACGGTCCCGAGGCCCGGCGAGGGCCCCCGGGGGCCAAAATCGGCGACACACCTCCGACTTTTTTTGTTTGCAATGCTTTGGATCTCTCGGGGTCGCGCTCTCTCCCGGCGCGCGGGGGGGGTCTGCCCAGAGCGCGCAGGCCAACCGGCGGCGGAGGAGGAGAAGGGGGGGAGGAGGAGAAGGGGGAGGAGGAGAAGGGGGAGGGGGAGGGGGAGGGGAGGGGGAGGAGGAGGAGGAGGAGGAGGAGGAGGAGGAGGGGGAGGAGGAGGAGGAGGAGGAGGAGGAGGAGGGGGAGGAGGAGGAGGAGGGAGAGGAGGGGGATTCGAGCGCGCAGGCCAACCGGCACGTCTGGACCTGCACCAGCGGCCCCAGACGGCCGGCGCCTCGGCTGTCTGAGCGAGACGGGGGCCCCCGACATCTCGGCCCTACTTCTCAAGGGGAACTGGGACACACAAACAAATACACCCTGCGAAATGCTTAAGAAATCATGGGTTAAGAAATTCAGAGTCTCAGAACTGGAATAAAAACCCAGAACTTCTATCAAAATCTGGGGATTTACATTGACAAGTTAAGAATAATCACGACTCTGGCCGAAAACTTAGGTTTTCTTAAGCATCGCCAAAGGTGTACACACAAACAAAATACCCCCCATATATGTTCCCATATTTTCTGGGCTTCTGTCTCCCCCCCCCCCACTTCCCATACGTTCCCATATTCTCCTGGGAATAGGACGATTCATTGTGTCTGTGTGTTTTTTCTCCTCCTGAATACTTACCCAGGACTGGGCCTTCACTCCGAGCCTCTTTTCCGGACGGTCCCGGGGCCCAGCAGCGCTGGACCCACACGTTGTTGCTCGTTTTGCTTTCGACATGTGTTTCGTTTTGATCTGCCTGTTTTCCTGCCCCCCCCCCCTGCCAAAACGAAAAACAAGGCACAGCCGAAGTCCAGCAAAACAGCGTTTAGGTCCAGCCCTGGGGCCCAATAAGAAGAACCCGAGAGGCCGACAACCATGAGCAAAACTCAATATCCATGCTAATCCAGACGCCAGCTATCCGGGGTCACTCCTGCAAGGGGGCCCCCCTTCACGCGTGGCAGGAGAAGGAGGAGGAGGATGAGGAGAAGGAGACAGACGAGGAAGAGGTGGGGGAGGAGGAGCAGAAGAGGAGGAAGAGGTCGGAGGAAGAGGAGAAGTCTTCAGACCATCAGTGCTTCAGTGCTTCAGGAGATGGGGGAGGAGGAGGAGGAGGAGGAGGAGGAGAAGGAGGAGGAGGAGAAGGAGACTGGAGAGGAGGAGGAGGAGGAGGAGGAGGAGGAGGAGGAGGAGGGGGAGGAGGGGGAGGAGGGGGAGGAGGAGGAGGAGGGGGCGGGGGAGGAGGATAAGGCGGAGGAGGGGGATGAGGAGGAGGAGGAGGAGGAGGGAGGAAAGGGAGGAGGGGGTGGCGGAGCAGGAAGAGAAGGTGGAGGAGTAGGAGGAGGAGAGGGAGGAGGAGGAGGAAAACGAGCGTCAAATGTTGACTCCGAAGGGCGTCGTGGAGATCGTCTGGAGTGGCGCCAGGCCGCGCTGGCCCGCTGGCCCGGCAGGGTCGGCGGGCCCAGCGCCAACGCCAGACGGCCTGCATCAGCAGCTGGGCAGGGGCAGTGTGGATCGGACGTGCAGTCTCGCCCCCTGCTTCGGCCTGCTGGCCCGCCTCTGTCCTCTCCTCTCTTGGCAGCCATGAGGAGGAGGAGATGGAGGAGGAGGAAGAGGAGGAGGGGGAGCAGGGGCGGAAGGGAGAGGAGGAAGAGGCGGAGCGGAGGAGAGACGAAGAGGAGTACGTAGGGGGAAGAGCAGCAGGAGGGGGAGGAAGAGGAGGCGGAGGAGACGAAAGAGGAGGGAGAGTAGGAGCAGTAGGAGGAATAGGCGGAGATGAGGACGGAACAGGAGGGGGAGGAGGAGGAAGAGGAGGAGGAGGAGGAGGAGGAGGAGGAGGAGGAGGAGGAGGAGGAGGAGGAGGAGCAGCAGCAGGAGGAGGAGGGGGGGCGAAGGGTCCCTTCCACGCGCAGCCCATCCTGGGGCTCCGCGTCGCTGAGTGCGTCGCTGAGGGCATCCGCCGCCTGCCCGTCGTCGCGCCTGACGCCTCCAAGGACGTCAAGCTGCAAGGAGCGCGACGGAACGCGCGGCGGCGTGCTGTCGGCTGGTGGCGCCTGGGGGGATCGAAAGGTACCGATACCGCTACACTCCCTGGACCTCTCCCTCGACTGCACGTAAGTGTGAACCTTCGCCGGAATGACCGTTGGTGCGGGCCCACTGGGGTCGCCCGATCGCCGAGTGCGGTGCGAGCGCTCGTGTCTCGCCCCCCCGCGGCCCGCAAGAAGCCGCGCACCAAAGGTCACTCTTACCCAGAGTAACTCTTGCGTGTGGCCGACTCCCGTGGTGCGCTCTTCGAGGCACAAGCAACGGTAGCTAGGAACACAATCTGTCGGAGGTCCGCGGGGATGCCTTGGATCAGCGCTGGAGCCCACTCCCCAGCGGCGCCTCTGGCGCCGATCCAAGAAATTCGCGCGAGCCTCCGAATGTACACGTTGATCGCATTATTTGCTCCTCGAGTTCCGACACGGATTTCGAAGCGAAACTAGCCATGGCGACGAGGGCCTCCCAAGAGGCCCTAAGAAGGCCCAAATGAGGCAAGGGTAGCCTAAGCTCCAAAGACGCCAAAAAATTGCAACATCGTGAAAAATCACGGCCCGAGCCCCACATTCCAGTTTGCTGCCTCATTGTTCTACCCGATTCGATTTGTGATGGTCCCAGGGCACGAAACAGTTCGAGGCGAATCCAGCAAGGGCAACGAGGGCCTCCCAGGTCCCAGGAGGCGCCAGCAAGGCAAAAGCGAGACAAGGGAAATTAGTGGAATCGGCGATGCATCGCCGGTGGATCGGCGGTAGGCCCCTGATGGCAAATCCACATGTCCCTGGGTGGGGTGGGGCTATCAGACCCCTGTCCACCATCAAAGGGCGATTGGGGGTCGATGCATCCTCCATCTGAGCCAGTTCCCCACCGTCGTTGCCCCTGACTCGTGCGTGGCCAGAAGTGCCCCTTGCTCAAGGTGCCCCCAGGATTCCCAGGGAGGCCCCCACGGCATTCAGAGCATCCCATCACGAGGCCCAGGGGGGGCTTGGGCTCCAACATGGAGCAAACAGCTGGGGGCACCTTGGGCCAGGGGCACCTGTAGCAACCCCGACGGACAGGTCAGCGGTATCGGTACAGTCGGACCTCGGCCAGAAGAACATCATTCAGGAACATGAGATCCTCCGCCAGCCAAAACAAACAGAACATCCAAGGGTACCCTCCCCAGGATGCTAGAGGAAGACAAATCGCTACAAACATAAACTTGTTGGCGCTCCGCGCGGATTTGTTGTATCTGCGCTGGGCCCCCCTCCCTGGCGCGCGGAGCGCGCCAAAGGCGGCGGGGGAGGCGCCGCCGGGAGGGCCCAGCGCGGATCCAAGAAATCTGCGCGAGGCGCCAAAAGCTTCTGTTCATGGCGCTTCTTCGTCTTCTCCTTCTTCTTCTAGATGCACGAGGACATCCGACACGCGCGAAAAACACCAGGGCGCACTCCCCGAGCCGACCTCGATCTCATACCTCGGTCCGGCTGCGTGACCTGCCGTCTCCTCCGAAGCACCGGGCCCCTCGCCGCCGCGCGCGAGCCGCACACCTCCACGCGCTCGGACGCGCCGAGGGCCTCGCAGAGGGCGGACCGAGCTCGAGGTGGAAAAACCGAGGCAGAATAACAAGAGCAAGGCAAGCCGCACACGCCAGTGGGCGCACGGGCAAAGGGCATGCGTCTGGCAGAGCTCGACGCGGGATCGAGGAGCATGCCGCGAGCGGCCGGATGAACCACACGAGGAGGCAGAGGAGGAGGAGGAGGAGGAGGAGGCGGAGGAGGAGGAGGAGCAGGAGCAGGAGGAGGAGAGGAAGAGGAAGAGGAAGTGGAATAGGAGGAGGAGGAGGAGGAGGAGGAGGAGGAGGGATCAGGAGACTGTCATCCAAAAACGCACCGAATCGGCAGAAAATCGGCAGGCAGATCGGAAGGCATCGGGATCGACGCGCGCCCGCCCAGGTCGGGCAGACACAAGGAGGCAGCCAGAGCAGAGTCGGAGTCCAGCGTCAGGTCGAATCGACAGCAGACTCCTCGAGACCCAGATCCCCGACACCACGTTTTTTTTTTTTTTTTTTTTTTTTTTTTTTTTTTTTTTTTTTTTTTTTTTTTTTTTTTTTTTTCAGAACGTGCAACCCCAGAGGTCTCGACCCGTTCCCCTGGAGCTGCCTTTCACGCCGAGTCGTCCTTTGACGGTCCCGAGCCCCGGTAGGGGCCCTCAGAGCCCGAAACTGGCGAAACACCGCCCGTCGTGATCGCATGTGACGGCGCGCACAAGGGGGTATGGGGAGGGTGGAATGCTTCTTGGAAGGCGCCAGCTTTACATCTACAGACGAGGCCTGCGCCTTGAAGCAGGGGTGCTTCGAAGAAGCCTTCCCCCCTCTCCCCGCCCCCCTCTGCGCGTGGCCTATTTTATGACCCCAAAGGGAATCTGGGAACCGAATCGCTTGGAATCGACAGCGTCGAACGGCCTGGCCGCATCAGACGCGGTGGCGACGACAGACAGCATTACCGCGCCCTCCGGGCGCGCTTCGGCAACCTGTGGGCCAGTGCTAACAGGGGGGGCAAGGAGGAGGTCGAGAAGGAAGAGGAGGGGGAGGGAGGGAGGATGCAATCGGAGTCGGAGGAGGAAAGCAGGAGGAGGAGTGGGACATCGGCATCCTGGACGCCGACTCGGTTCGAAGTCACAGACAGCGTCGAACTGGCTCCTGGCCAAAGCGAGGCGCACGCGAAGAAAGAACAGGTCTGACTCGGAATCCAGGGCTGAATTGAATCGCAATCGGCATTCTCGAAACCGCATCGATTGGAATCGACAGCGCCCAACTGGCTCCTGCCACGGCGGAGACACGCACAAAGAAGGCCAAATAAAAATCGGCATCCAGGGCCAAGTAGAGTCGACATCGGCATCCGCAAAGCCGAATCCAGTGGAATCGAGAGCGTAGGTCTTCGTCGTCGTCGTCGTCCGTCGTCGTCGTCGTCGTCGTCAAACGTCGTCGTCGTCGACGTCGTCGTCCGTCGTCATCGTCGTCGTCGTCGTCGTCGTCCGTCGTCGTCGTCGACGTCGTCGTCGTCGTCGCCGCCGCCGCCACGGCGCCAGCCACGGCGCCAACGATGACGGTGGGACGCACAAGGACACATTCGCACTGTGCGTGTCCTCCTCGGAGCCTCCCGTCCGACCCGGACGCGCAGTATTGGCTCGGGCATGTCCCCCAAAGAGGCGGAATTTGGACGAACAAGGTTCAAAATAGTCAAAAAAATACTCAAACATAGTTAAAACATGCTAGCACCATGCGGAAGAAGCATAGCGAAATCCGCCGATCTGGCGTGGGAGTTTCAAAGACCCTCAGATATGGCCTGAGCCTCAATTCTTGAGCTTCAGCTCTGCTGGGGAGGTGGGTGCCGGGGTGGCTCTGCCGGGGTAGGGGGGGGGGGTCGAGTCAATTTAGGTGACAAAATCGGAGCTCCAGTTCACTCCGGGTCGGCCCCTCGCCCCGGAGAGCTCGAACGCGGACTCATAGAAAACCCAGCGGCCGCCCAGACGGCCCAAGAGGAGGGCCCTGAGTGGCATACACATCGCCCCAACACGCCCAATATGTTCCTCAGACGGCTCCAAAAGCCTCCAACGTGCCCTCCCGACACCTCCTGAGAGTGCCCAAAGACGGAATATCTGTCCCATTCCGTTCGAAAAACGTACATGTGTTGCATTTTCGCTTCTTCGGCCTTCGCAGTGTCAGACACGGCCCAAGAGACCCCCAAAACAGGCCCAGAGGCTCTCAAGAGGGCCCCAAGTCGGCCCAAGAAGGGCCCAAGACGGTCTGGGAGGCCCCCAAAACAGCCTGAGCGGGCCCCAGGACGGGCCAAAGAAGCGCCCAAGAGGGCTCCATGACGGCCCCAGAAAAGGCCTAAGACGGCCCAAGAGGCGCCCAGGAGGCACCAAAATGGGCCTAGGAGTCCCCAAGAAACCCCGAGAGGCTCCAAGCGGCCCTCAAGAGGCTCCCAGAAGGCGCCCAAAAGCGCCCCCGCAGGCTTAAAAAATACCTCCTACACACCCCGAGGAGGCCTCCAGGATGCCTCCTGAATGCCCCCCGAGAAGCCCAAAAGGCCCCCGAGAGGCTCAACAATCACATCCAAAACGCCCCCCCAGGAGGCCTCGAAGATGCGTCGTAGAGGCCCCTCAAGAAGCCCACGCAATGCCTCCAAGCTGATTCCAAACCACTTACGTTTGAACAAGCGCGTTGCAAAACAAATTCTTCAATGGTTTCGCCTCTTCGACGTCGTCGTTGTTGTCGTCGCCACCGTCCCCGAACCGGCCCAAGAGAGCCCCAGAACGAACCCAACTAACGCCCCAAACGGACTTCGCACGGCACAAGAAGGTCCCAAGAGGGACCCAGATGCCCCCGAAGGACCCTCATGACGGCCCCAGAAGGGCCCAAGAGGCGCCCAGGAGGCACCATCCCTTAGGAGGAACCGGAGTGGGAGGAACGGGAAGAGCACGAGGGCCACGGGGGAAGGAGGAGGGACAAGGAGGGAACGATAAGGATGCGGACAAAACTCGGACCCATATTTATATGCTGCCTACAAAACTGAAGCGCAGCGCAGAGAAGGGAAAAGATCACCCCGCGCTGGGGCGAAAGCGTCCTTCTGACAACGGGATCGTCCTGGATCGGCGGCACCGGCCTAAGGCCTCTACAGTAATAAAAAAAGGGTCAACCAAAAAAGTCAACTACTCAAACAAGTACTTCAAAATAGCCCATATGGCAAAATGCCAGAAACATCGTCCCCAGGCTATTTTTTGACTACTTTGAACACTCCCCCTGTAGAGGGACATACCCGACTGAAAATGTAGTATCCCCATCTGGCCATCGCTCGGACGTCCATTCCCTGTGTTTTTTTTCGGTTTCGTGCGTGGCTTTTTCGCCAAAGGATCAAGGATGATCCTCGATGGTCCTCGCCGAAGGAAAAATACACACGTCCGAGCGATGCCAAGCCATCTGGTGGTTCGTAGTTTCTGGGAGACGTAAGACTCGGGCACAAGGGACTCGGGTTGGCCTGACAGGGGGGCATCATAAAAATGACGAGAGCCAATCTGAAATTCGACGCGGGAGCTCCCGCCGCAGAACTCCCACGAAACCTGGACCGTCAAAATCCATGACACGCTCGTCAAAAAACGTCGGCGAGCCCGAGTTCAGTTTCCGATCGTCGGCGGTGGCCGTCGGTTAGCTCAGGCCAGTGGTGTGCGGGTCCCACGGCACAACATGGCGCTTAGCGTGGGGGGCACGGGGAAGGGAAGCGGAAGAGGGGGAGAGGGAGGAGGAGAGACAGGAGGAGGAGGAGGAGGATGACGGATCGAGGAGGAGGACGGACAAGGAGGAGGAGGAGGAGGAGGAGGACCGGCTTACTCGCACGTTTACCCGATCGTTTCCCGAGCGGCGTGGCCAGAGAGAGCGCCCGCCGCGGAGAGCTCAGGCTGCGAGGTCCCCTGGGCGCGCGCGCGCCTCCCCCTGGGGAGGGCGCCACACACACACACACAACGAACACACACACACACACACGCACGCACGCACACACAACGAACACACACACACACAAACACGCACCCACACAACAAACACACACACACACAACGAACACACACACACACCCACACACACGCACACACACACACACACCCACACCCACCCACACCCACACCCAAACCCACACACACCCACACACACACACAACGAACATACACACACACACACAACGAACACACACACAACGAAAACACACACACACACACACGCACACACACAGACAGTAGAGCGTCGCAGTGAGGCCGAGGCGACGACGGCACCGACGACGCCGACGCTCCTTTGATCTGGATGCCCGAGATGGGTACGGAACAAATTGTGACAATGCCCAACAACGAGCGTTGTCCCAAACCGACAGCGGCCGCTGTTGGGCAGGGGGCTTCTTGTCTTCACTGAACAACGTCCGCGGCGGCGCGGACAGCGAGTCCTGTTCAAAATGAGCAGGAACTCCTGCTGGGCATCGTACTCATCCTTTCCGCATCAACTTCCATCGTTCCGATTTGAACAGGGACCGACCGTCCCGGCAGTCCTTGAGACCTGCCACGCCACGTTCTCAGATCCCTACAAATGCTCTGGAAACAAGCTCATTGCTCTTAGGACATGAAGCCGATGCGCTGAAGCAAGACGGCCTCAGCCAGACATGCTCTATAAGAAATGTTCGCGCAGACCACAACAAATTTCGGCGGTCCACAAACCTCCCTTTAGTAAACCTCCCCTTAATGAAAACAGCATGGGACCGAAACCGACGGACCTGGACCCGCAAAAATGACGGCCGCGACGCCCTCTCGCGAACCGAAAACGGCCAATTCGCTCATCGACGTGTTAGGGTAGGAGGTCTACCAACCTCCGACTATAAACAAGACTGGACGCTTCGCCACTGCTCGACTCTTGGCCTGGCATGCACATCAACTTGTGGCGCCCCGCGCGGATTTCTTAGATCTGCGCTGGGGCCCCCCTGGCGGCGCCTGCGGCGCCGCCCCCCGCGCGCTCCGCAGATCCGCGCGGAGTGCCACAAGTTTATGTCCATGGCATTTGTTCTTCTTCGAAGTACGTCGGAGTGACGCCGAGACGATGACGACGACGCCGACGCTTCTGGCCTGGTGCAGCACCTCAGAGACGGTCTCAATCAGAAGGTTCTAAGAACATTTCGTGCAGAACACTACAGGTTCTTAGAACATGATTTGGCGCAGCACCTCGGAGATTTCGACCTATTCCCCGGCTGGGTCGATTTTTTGGCGGCCCCGAGGCCCTGCGAGGGCCCCCAGAGGCTGAAAACTGCAAAAGGACCTCCGCCGCGATTTTTTCGAGACGCCAGATTTTTTCCTACATACCTCTCCAGTGATACCATGGCGGGTGCTGCGAATCACACTCGCATCCAGGGCACTCCAGTTGGAGAACGTGAGAGTCACCTTCGACGCCGGCTGTTCAGTCCACTGCACAAAATGGACGACGGCCCGCCGCAGGAGGTCAGCATCAGCACGCCGCTGCAGGTCCCCGACACGCCCCCGAAGGCTCGCAGCGGGGGCGCCTCCCCACCCCCAGCCCTGCAGGAGATCACAACGTTGCTCAGACAGGAGGTGAACCCGCTGCGGCAGGCGGTCGCGAATCTGGAGAGCAAGATCGCGGGCATGGGAGAGGCGATCGAGGCCAGGATGGGCGTATTAGAGGAGAAGATGGAAGACGTAGACATCCGCATCACGAATCTCGAAAATCAAATCGATCAGGGTACCCCGAGGTCCGAGCAGAGCATGAGCCAAGAGGTCTTGGACCAGACCAAGGCATTGGAGATGGAGGTGTCGATGCTCAAGAGCGCGGCCTACCAGCACCCGAACCCAGACATCGACAAGACAGTCGTGATTGGTGGGTTGCAGTCGCTCGGGAGGTTGGAGGTGAAGGAGTGGCTGGGGGAAAAACTGTGGGAAGGGTACGGCCCACAGCCGGAGGATGTGTACACGAAGGGGGACTTCTGGGGCGTGGAATTCGCTAAATTCCCTAGCGCGGGGGATCGAGACACTGTGGTGGGCCTATTTCGCAAAGCGTCTTTCCAGGAAGGAGGAAACCGAGTCTGGGCGAAAGCGGACCAGCCCCTCCCCAAGCGGGTCATCACTTCATTCGCTTTTTCGGCTTGAAGTACTTGATGAAGCAATGGGGGTAGGACGCGAAGGCGATCTGGGCGGACCCCGATGACGGCAAAGTCTGGCTCGGTGCGGAGATGGTGGTCCACGCGACGATCAACGGAGGCAAACCCAACGTCCTTGACGGTTGTGGTTGGGTCTTGGTTGACAGATGTATCTTATCCCGATGTCCTCAATCTCATTTCTAAGCTTACTGGCAAGCTCGATACTGTCGCTTCCAAGGGCGTGGGGAAGATGGGGGCCAAGGGAAGATCCCCAGGGAAAGGCGGCGGACAGCATAGCAGATAGGGGTGCCAGCGGGGCGACGGCAGAGACGTTTCGCACAAGAGGTCTAGAACCCTGTCCTTTTACCAGGTGTTTCAGCCAGCTTCTCACAATACTGCAGCACACGCGTGGTCGAATGGCTTAGCCAAGACGCCGCTTGCTGCAGCCATGGGCGGCCGTTTGCGCCCCTCCAGTTCTGAATTCACGATTGCTTCGTGGAACATCGATGGGTACACCACTGCAAAGCAAGTGGAGCTCGAACGTATCATGGAACGGGAGAGCATTGGCGGATTATGCATTCAAGAGACATGGCAGCATTAACCAGACACTTTTGTCACAGACACGGGGTACTTCGTTGTGCTATCAGGGGGCGCCGAAAGCAGAGCAGACGAAGACGAAGATCGAGCAGGCGTCGGCTTCATAGTTGCGCCACGAGCACGGAGGTCCATTATTGCTTTCCGCCAAATGTCATCCAAACTGGCATCGCTGAAACTACGGGTTCCCAAAGGCAAAGCCGCTCTTTTTTCAGCATACGCTCCACACAGTGGTCGAGATTTCGATTAAAGGCAAAGATTATTCAACGAGCTGTCGGATTTGGTGGACAAGACGTCGGCGCATGGACCTAAACTGATTTTGGGAGACATAAACGCGAGGCTATACGAGCAATTTGCTGGCGAATCGAATGTGGTAGGACCGCATGTGTTGGCATCCCCTGGCGTGGAGTGCAAGCAGGACGCCAAGCGGCATCTGCTGGTGGAGGTGTGCACCCAGCTCGCCGTGTGTCTGGCCAACACCTTCTACGAGCCACCGTCGGGTAGCCTTGCCACGTGCTACAACGTGGGCCGCCCAGCCGGGGAGAGCGTATCTTCACACACCCGCTCGCAGATCCATTTCTCTTGTGTGAGCAGAGCTGGTTGCACAACGTAAAGGCCGCGAGTTCCCACACACATGCGCCGCTGTCGTCTCACCATTTTCTGCTGCATGCCGTGCTCCAGATGGAGGTGGTGAAGGGCCCAGTGGAACGAACTCTCCAGCGAGACGTGCGATCAGTACTCGAGCCCGGAGCGAAGCTCTCTTTCGGACACTGCTTCAGCGAAGCGATGGAACTGTATGAGGACACAGCGCCTGACGAGGCAAGCGTGAAGACTGCGCGGTCTCGTCTCGTGGACAGCTGCCGCCGGGCAGAAGAATCCACAGCGCCCATCGAGCGCCGTCGCCCGAGACGCCCCCTGGACGAGCAGTTGCACTCTCGGCTTGGCTTCGGGGAGAAAGGAGGCAGGGCGCCAAGGGGACGCTCTTGACGCACCAACAACACACACCCATAACTACCCATAGGGGGATCGGAGAGGGCTGTGAGTGCATGTTGTCGGATGGGGGTCCCCGCTCGAACGGGAGCGTTCCCCAGGGTCCGACAACCCGCACCCATACCCATAGCCAGTCCTCCTCCCAACGACCTCCCTATGGGTATGGGTGTGTGTTGTTCGTTCGTCAGCTTTGGAAGACAAGGAACATTGCAAAACATATCCGAGCATCAAGCGCCCGTGACCGGGCGCATTGGCATTGGCTTCAGGAAATGACCAAAGAAGGCGATTGGGCACAGATCGGGAGGTTACGCAAGGGGCGAACACGACAACCTGGCAGACTACGGGACAGCAGCGGCGAGCTTGTGGACAGCGGCAGGCGGGCCGACAGCTCGGCTGAGCACCTGGCGCAACTCCAGTGGGCGGTACGTCAGACCACGGTCCCCCCGAATAGCGAGAACATCCGCCCGAAACTGCCAGTGAAGCTCGGCGCCATCATGGAGTCAGAAGTCCGGGAGGCCGCGCAGAAACTGAAGAACGGTCGTGCAGCTGGACTCGATCATGTTCCGCCAGAGCTTTGGAAGGCCGTGGCCGAAGATGGGGAGGCCGCGATTTGTTGGGTTACTCGATTTTGCAACGTTGTATGGCACACACCCGCGTGCCCGAGGCGTGGCGGAAGGCCAAAGTTACAATGATTTACAAGAAAGGAGACCCGTTGGCATGCGACACATACAGGCCCATCAGCCTCCTACCTATAGGATACAAAGTGTTCGCTATGAGATTGATGGAAAGGTTGAAGCAAGCTGGTGCTGAAGATCGCATCTGGCGCACCCAATTTTGCTTCAGATCTGGCCGTGGGACTGGCGACGCAATATTTTTGGCCAGGCGAATCCTCGAGGACGCTTGGGCGACGAAGCAAGGCTCGTCATTGCTACTTGCTTTGGATTGGGCAAAGGCCTTCGACTCAGTGTCGCCTGGCGCTCTGGCAATCTCATTGCGGAGGTTTGGTTGCCCCTCGAAATTTGTCGCCATGGTTGAATCGATGTACCACGATCAGTCTTTCGTCGTCTCCGACTCAGGCACCTTGTCGGCAGAACGGAACCAACAATTTGGGATATGCCAGGGTTGTCCGCTATCACCGTTTCTTTCACAATAGTAATGACAAACGTTGTTCACAGACGCCTACTCCATGTTCCAGGTGCGCATGCCGAGTGCTCCATAGCCGCACTTTGTCAGGGAGTTGGTGTACGCTGACGATACTCTTCTGCTGGACGCCAACCCAGACATCATCCAAGAACTGATGTCACGCATAGAAGAATGTGGGCGACATGAAGGACTGAGCTTGAATTGGCGCAAGGTTGAAGTGATGCGCGTTCGCACTGGAGCTCATCTAGTCAATGGCGCAGGTGAGGCGGTGAATGAAAACAGCACCTTAGTATATTTAGGCGCGCTGCTGTCCGCATATGGCCGGAGCGGCGCGGAGCTTAACCGCAGACTTGGTGCGGCCAAGCTAGACTTCAACGTCTTGAGCGCAATTTGGTCGCATGCTGAATTGACCCGCCGCCAGAAGGCGCGTATATTTGACGCCTGCGTAGTTGCTAAATTATTAGTTTCTTTGTTTACTTTATGTATGAATCAGGCGGAACGCCAGAGAATCGACGGATTTCAAGCCCAATGTCTGCGGAGGATTTTCCGCGTGCCACATTCATACTACAGTAGAATGTCGAATCGCATTGTCGTGAGCATGGCGGAGCAGCGGCCTGTGAGCGAGCAAATTTGTAAACAGCAAATGCGTTTCATACGCAAGCTTGCGGGACGCCCCAGCTCAGACCAGGTGCGCATGTCCGTGTGTTGAACCTGGCAGTTTTGACATACGATTGCTATCAGGACCTTGGAAAAGAAGTCGGCCCCGACAGAACTGGGGCAACCTGGTGATGAACAACTGTCTACGCGTCGCCGGCTCCGCCGCTCGCCTGGCTGATTACTTCCGCCTGGAGGGCGGTGCAGCTCGAGCTCGGGCGTCGGCCGTGCGATTGTGGCACATCTCGTGCATTTTGCCCATCTCTCCCGCCAACACGCAGGAGGCCCGAAAGGGCCACGGAGAAGAAGGAGGAGGAGGACGAGGAGGAGGAGGAGAAGGAGGAGGGGGAGGAGGAGGAGGAGGAGGAGGAGGAGGAGGAGGCGGCGGAGGAGGAGGAGGGGGAGGGGGAGGAGGAGGAGGGCCGCTCCTGGCCTGGCGCAGCACCTCCAGGCGCTCCGAGACCTCGGGCACGCCCCCGAGCAGCGCGGCCACGGCGCCCGCCTCGAGCAGGTCCAGGAGGCTCGCGCCCCCGCCCGGCGCCGCCATGACCTGGCGCTCCGCCGCCGCCCGCACGCGCTCGGACACGCTCCTCGCGGGGGGAAGAATTCACGACGACGGTGACGACGGCGACTGCGACGACTATTGCGAGGACGAGGAGGACGAGGAGGAGGAGGAGGAGGAGGAGGAGGAGGAGGAGGAGGAGGAGGAGGAGGAGGAGGAGGAGGGGGAGGAGGAGGGGGGGAGGGGGAAGGAGGGGGGGAGGAGCAGGAGGAGGGGCGAGGAGGAGGAGGAGGAGGAGAAGGAGGAGGAAGGAAGGAGGAGAAGAGGAGGAGGAGGAGGAGGGGGAGGAGGAGAGGGGGGAGGGGGAGGAGGAGTGGGAGAGGGGAGGAGGGGGAGGAGGAGGGGGAGGAGGAGGAGAATGAGAAGGAGGAGGAGGAGAGGAGCAGGAGGAGGGGGAGGAGGAGGAGGAGGAGGAGGAGGAGGAGGGTCGAAGTTTGTTCCCCGCCAAGAGGAACGAGAGGGAGGGGATCCACATCAATTTAAAGAGCTCCCTCGGTAGAGAGCTCCCTCGTTGACGCCACAATAATATCTACACAGACACCCTTCGACAACATTGCATGTACCTTCAAGGATGGCGGCGGTGTACAAAGGCGCTGGCCCTCAATGGTAGCTGATACACCGAGGAACGGAGGGTGTCTGTGTATATTCTGCCGTGGCGGGGCAATGTCGCCCAGACCTCTTACGAACTTCTTGAGAAGAGTAGAGCGGCGCTTCTCCGCCGGTTTCGGCCTCCGGGTGTCCCCAACGAGCCCCCGCGACCATCGACATAAACGACTCGGAAGGAAAAACGGGCCCCCAGGGAAGCGGTCCAGGAGGAGGACGAGGAGGAGGAGCAGGGTTTAGAACGCCACAGGGAAACGTCAGGTTGGTCTAACGTACCAGGAGGAGGAGGAAGGAGGAGGAGGAGGTAGGTGGGGAGGCAGGATGAGGAGGAGGAGGAGGAGAGGAGGGACCTCCTCCTCGTTCAGGAGGCGGAGGCAGAGGGGGCGTGCGCCGCGGCCGCCCGGCGCTCGGGGGCCCCCTCCTCCTCCCCTTTCCTCCCTCCTCTCCTCCTCCTCCTACTCTCCTCATCATCCTTCCTCCCCCCCTCCTCTCTCCTCTCCCCTCCCTCCTCCCCCTCATCCCCTCCTCCTCCCCCTCCTCCTCATCATCATCCTACCCCTCCTCCTCCTCCTCCTCCTCCTCCTCCTCCTTGGACCGCCCGCGTTATGAGGGAAGTCCTCCCCCTGGGTCTGAAAGGGGGGAGCGCGAGGGCGCAGATGGTCCTCTCTGGCCAAGCGTGGCTCGAATATTGCCTCAGATAGCCGACGATGGCCTCAAAGAGGGCACAACGTAGCACAGGATGGCTTGCGGTGGCTTTCAAGAAGCCCAAAGACAGCCACACAGACGGCTCCGAGTGGGCACGAAGACTCCCGATGATATCTCCAGTAGTCACATTTCACCCTTACTCATGAAGATGATTGATAAGTGCTGCCTTCTCGCCTTTTCGATTCCGATGGGCGTCCGAAGCCTGAGGGTGGCTCCAATATCGCCCAAGGGCGCCCATCGAAGGACGCAGAAGAGCTCCAAGACGGCTCCCAGAGCGCTCCGAGAGGGCGCTGAGAGGCGATGCTTCGGGCTCCTGCGGGAGTAGGCACATTGACAACGCCTCTTTCTCGGGCCAGGCGAAAGGTGGGGATAGCAAGGGGGGGGGGGGAATTCTGCTCACGTGGCTGATTTTCCCGGCGCCTCTCGGCGCCGGAGGCGGCCATGTGTCGAGGAATGGGCCCCTCGTTGAGGCTGAAACCAGCTGCGTGTACTCCAGATTTCGTAACAAAGGGAGGGGGGTCTCATTTCGGGGGGGAGGTCTCTTCCAGGCGATCTTGGAGGGCCTGGGGGGTCTGGGGACGATGTTTTGGAGGGTTCTCCCACGGGGGAGGTCTCAAATGGCTTGTCTTGGAGGGTCCAGACCCCCTCCCTTTTATTACGAAATCTGGAGTAGCAGATTTCGTACCCCCCCCTTCCCCTATATCCTCCCGTTTCGTGCGGCCCGAGAACGAGTGGAACAGCCTCGAACATGCTTGACGGTGTTGGCCTCGCGGGGAATCTTTTGCGCAGGGACCGTCCCGGCATTCGTATAGCCCTACCACGGAATGTTCCGAGAACCCAAAGATGTTCTATTAACAAAAACTGACTACCTACCAGACCACCCCAACCCAACCCGAAGACCCGAATTTCGGGTTGGGGGGGGGGGTACGGGTTCCATATGTGTTTTCTCGATGTTCCCCGACCCCCCCCAACTGGAAGTGGAGGTCAAATTGAGGCCTTCGGGTTGGGTTGGGGTGGTTTGGTGAGTGGTGAAAAACGAAGTCCTTAGAGCATAACCCCGATGTGATAAAACAAGACCGGCTCCGCCAAACATGTTCTAAGAACAGCCCGTGGGAACCACAAAAGGCGCTCAGTACACTGTCGGGTAGGGCTATAGGCTAGCCAGGACGCTTCGCCACTGCTTTTCGGTCGGGCCTGTCCCCCTGCAGGGGGGTTTTGGAAGAGAAATAAGAAATACCCCTAAAATACTCAACAGATGCCCAAAAATACTCAAAAAATAGTCCCCAGACGATTATTTGATTAGTTTTGGATATCCCCCCTGTAGAGGGACAGGCCCGACTTAACACTGCTTGACTCTTTGGATGGCTTCCGGGCCAAGCTCGTTCCAACCCGGGCCCCCGGCATCTTTTTTTAAGGTCGACCGCCGTGCCTGTACGGCGTGGGCGCGTCAGGATGCCCAGTGTGTGGTCTGGGAGGCTGCTTAGAAGATGCTCCAGGGTCAAGTCGGGCGTGTCACCCTACCGGGGGATTTTGGAGGGAAAAAAATACCCCCCAAAATGCCCAACAAATACCATCAAATGATCAAAAGATCCTCCCCAGACTATTTTTTGACTATTCTTGAAGATCCCACCTGTAGAGGGACAGGCCCGACTTAACTCTGGGCCCCCCCCCCTTCCCAGAGATCCAACGCATTGAAAACATCAAGACGGAGGTTTTCTCAAATTTCGGCTCCCAGCCTCGCCGGGCCTCGGGACCGTCAAAACACGACTCAGGATGAGCAACCAGTCCTGGGGAAGGGAATGGGTCGAGACTTCTGGGGACCCAGTATTGAGGAAATCACGACGTCGGATCTCTGGATTCTCGCAGAGGGGGTCCACTGATCGCCACCCATGAACTTGTTTTCCGGCGCTCGCTTCGGCCTCCAGGCGGCCAAAATGGACTCCAAAACGATGACACCCAAACGGCCCAAGATGGCCCACGACGGCACGAGAAGCTCCCAAGACGGCCCGAAGACAGCTCGAGAGGCACCCAAGCCGGCCCAGGAGGGCTCCAAGAGGCCATCCAAAAGAACCCAAGGCGGCCCAGATCGTTGACATCCTCAGTGTTTTTGAGATGGTGTGAACTTCTCGCGTATTTGGGTGTCCAACCGCCAAAGACGGTCCAAGGGGCTTCCAAGATGGCGCCACGACAGCCCTCAGGGACACACAAATCAGCAGACACAAATCCCAGGATTTCCCACATCTTCCTACATTCTCAGGGTTTTGTCTTCGCCTTTAATTTCCCACAGTTTCCCCTCTATTATCCTGGGGGTCGACGATGAACTGTGTCTGTGGATCATTTTCTTCCCTCCTGAAGCCCATGAGGCCCCCCAAGAGGGTCCCAAGACGGCCCAAGAGCGCTCCCATTGGGCTCCAATGATGATGAGCAATAAAATGCTCCTACCCCTTTGGGAGGGGACCAGAATTAACAGGGCCAGGAACATTAGTGATAGAGGGTATTTTCTAAAGGTGTATCAGGCCAAACCGCCCAGAACTAGTATCCCGAATGCGAGGACGGGGACCCACATGATGCCACGCCTTCATCGTGTTATTCGGATTAGGGGTTCTTTCGTTCTCGATGGTCCAATGAGGTCCGACAGGAGGGCCCGAGGAGGCCAAAGCCACTGATTGCCTTGAGGTTTGGAAGGGTTTCGAGGTTCTCACCGATTTAGGTTTCCGACCACCGACGACGGCGGTGTTGCCAAGAGAGCTCACAGACAATCCATGAGGCCCCGAGGAGTCACAGGCTGGTCCAGGACGACCCCAAGTTCGCCCAAGAGGCTACCGAGAGGGTTCGAAGACGCCCACAAGATGGCCCAAGAGGGCTCCAAGAGGCCCTCCAGGAGAGCCCGAGGAGGCCAATACCATTGATGTTCAGACGGTTATTGAAACATTGAAGAGGTTCTCGCATATTTGGGTTTCCGACCGCCGACGACGGCCAAAGGAATATCCAAGATAGTTTCAAGACACCTCATGAGGCCCCCAAAAGGGGTCCGAGTGGGCCCACGAGGATCCCAACTTCGCTGAAGAGCCTTCCAAGAGAGCCCCTAGACGGCCACAAAGCGCTGCAAAGAGCTCGAAGACGACCCTCCCAAGACGGCCCCCGAAGGCGTCCGACGGACCAATCGCCTCCCCAAGACGGCCCGAAGAGGCCCCAGGGGTTCCCCAACAGACCCCCCAAGAGGCTCCCAGCAGGCCCCAAGAGGGCCCCAAGAGGGTCCCTAAGAAGCTTCTGTCCCCCCTCTCCTCCTCCTCCTCCTCCTCCTCCTCCTCCTCCTCCTGGTCCCTACCGCGCGGACGAAGACGATGTCGGGATCACGGCCCCACCAAATTTAGACCACTCGCTGAATAGTCGCGAGGTGTGTACTCGACCTCCTACATAACCGCGCGGACGAAGGCGACGTCGAAAACACGACCTGTCCTTATCAGACCCTTGGTCGGAATTGCGCTGTTCCTGCGCTCAACCTCCTTCCTGCTGCGCTGTTGCACAGGCAAGGTGGCGGGGTTTGCCGCAGGCAGCAGGATAGCATCCACGATGGCCCAAGATGGCTCAGTATTGCCTCCAGCGCGTCTCCAGGAGGCCCAAAGACGGCCCAAAGACAACTCCAAGTGGCCTCGGAGCCGCAACATGAGACACGCGAGATGGCAAAATCCTTCATCGCCACATGTGTGTTGATATGAT